ACAAAGAAACAAAAATAAATATAATAAAATAATTGGCTGATGGTAATTTTTTATTTATATTAGCTAATATTTAAAAAATAACAATAATTACTATTACTTATAATAATTATTAATATGTAAACGTTATTAATAGAAATTTGTGGGATAACCGTTTTTCGACAAAATATGCGCTAAGAAAATATGACTTGATTTATATTTATAATGTGATCTGTTTATCATGAATATTAAATTCCAAGCAAAATAATTTTGGTCTACTTTAGTTACACATATATTAGATTCGTCAACTACAAATTACTTTTTAGCGTAATTCCTTATACTTTATAAGTAGAGATAGGACTTATATGCAATTATAAATTTTGTTAAGTTATTCTGAACACATCATCAGCCAGTACAAATATTTTAATAACTGAATTAAAAACTTAGTAATGTGATGTTACCGATTTTTAAGTTTATGGGTAATTTATGATGAACGGATATTGACGCACCTATTTATATTACAAAATATTTCCGAAGAAAATCTTTGATCATTAATTTTTCGATGGTAAAATTGAGAGATTTTTTCTTTTGTATGAGTCACAAAGGAGTCAAGCAAAAATGTTCATTTATCTATTGAACGATTCGCATGTAATTTCATTATAATTTAATATTCGCCTAAGTTTTTATGTGTGAAAATTAATGTCTGCGGATTAGTGTATCACATTGATGTAGTTGTGTGTAAAAGTGTACTTTGACTCGTATAATAAATCTAACTACTGTCGTGACGTCTCCTCGTAAAAGAAACGCATCAGTCTAGTACTATATCAGAATGTAATTTTCGTGGAAGTGTTGACGGCAAAGAAAAAATAATAATAAATGACTAACCATACAGATACATCGATCTCACATGAACGCTCTATACATACACTTGGTCGCATTTATATATGTGTGTGGGTGTGTGTGTACGAGCTTTATATTAGCGAGGACCGTGAAGTAGAGAGAGGATCAACATTGATTACTTCCGCACTTGATATTACTGAAAGTTTAATGACTTAATTCGGTTACATTAAATAATTTGATGAACTCCACAAAATCTATCTAAACACTAAATGTATGATACTTTAATGGTATTATAACGTGTAATATTTCTTAGAAATCATATATTAGAACACTTTATAATATCGAAAACAAAAATAGAAAATAACATTGATGAATCTACTAATAGACAAATTACTACTTGGACAATATTCGATACAAATTGAAGATGAGCATGTTTCAAATATTTGCATTGGAACTATGAGTTTATCTCAAACACTAACCAAGTACAGAAATTATCTGATTTCACTTTACATACCACGTTGGTATGTAGTCGATTAAATTTTGTTTATGCACTTCTGAGCCGATGTATAATCGGATTTACTTAAAGCTTGTTAATTAAATTTTGACGGAACCGCGTTACTACGTTATACATATCGTAAGTGAAACGGTTTGCGTTAGCACCAGACACCGCAATCCACATACGATCTGCAGAAATGTACTGTACTACACAATTTTTAAATAATTCAATAAGCAAACAACTTCCTACTATAACCCCATATGACCCAATAAACTCAAAAGGGAATGTTTTACCAGTAATAATCTAAATGTGCGTTTTTCGATTCATGCATTTATACGTTTAGATAAAACACATTTTATCTTTATTAGGACATGAATATAATCATATTTAAAGTCATTGTTCAAGAGTATTCTAGTACTCGATGTAAAATTTAATAAAATGCACACTCTTGGAGATCAACAATTGTTTTTCTCTATCGTTAAGTTACGTGTACTACATTTACACAATTATAATCATAAAAATATAGTTAATGAGTATTTCGATACTCTGTTATATTATATAGTAAATCTATTAAAAAATCAATCTTACTACAATGAACCGACTATAGACCGAAATTAACTCCTCCAATCGTTAGTTAGTTTATCATAATTAATAGACTTAATGGATTTGTCTATTTAATACTTTAGTGTTACGCGGTGTGGTGGTAAATGAATTTTGAAAGCTGACACTTTTTTAAATGATTTTTTTATTAAAAGATAAAATACAAATGATATTTATAATTTTAATGGTGGAAAATAATATTTTTACTATGATGCCGATCATAAAAACTGAATTTCCTTTTTCTAAAATAATTAGTTATTTAAATTAAATACAAAACATATGACATTTCATATTTACAACTATATTAAGTAGAAAATAATTCTTTTTGTTAAGTTTTTTGCAGTTAAATTCATTTTTATCTTAAAAAATAAGAATTTCAGCAGAATCATCCAATTATTTCATACTTAGGGGTATAAATATATAATGTGTTTAGCTAAGATATAAACAAAAATGGTCGATATTTGAGGTTTTCGAAAATTCTTGGTAAAATTGGTTTTTGTTGATGAAAAGGCTATAGGTTAAATAGGCTCTCTGAATACTAATAAAATTGTTTGAGCGGTCTCTTCTATAAAAGTTTATAAGTTATAAAATAAAATACCTTAATAAAGTTATGATTTATTATCGCTATTTATATAGTTCTAACTTCTGAATAATTTAAGTTTTTTATAGTTTCCAATTAATGATAAGTTTTTCTTTTAATAAATTGCTATGACTGTATAGTTTAACTATACAGTCTATATACAAAACTATATAGTTTTGATGTATTAAATAATACTCTATTTAATAGTGATTGGTCAAATGTTTACAGCTCACATTGTGTTGACTTTGCCACAAATGANTATTATACACAAAAAATTTAATTAATATTGTGTTTATGGAAACTAATTTTTGGTTACGTTATTTTAATGTTTAATTATTTCATTTTATTTATCAAATATACATTTTTAGATACTCTATCGTATTTACTTTAACTGTATATTTATACTAATATATAGGTAGGCCTTTGGTTGATAGTTTAGCTTCTATTTCTTCAAATTCAGAAAATTACATTTATTGTTAAAAAAAAAAAAATAAACAAAATTAAGTTTAAGCCCCAAATAAATTTTAGTTACTAAGTGTAGGTCTGAGTTTTGTATATTTTCATTTCCAAAATCTTTTCTGTTTTAATTAAAAATGTTAGGCGAATGTAATGCTGAAATTCTGAAATTAACATTAAATTTAGGTATGTCTCCTAAGAAAAACACTTAAGTATACTAAGATACTAAGTTTTCACTAACACCCTGAATAAGAGCATGTTTAATTTAACGTTTCTTCATTTTAAACAATAATTCCTTAACTGGATGCTAAGATAGCTTTCGTTCATTACTACTTTACGAAACTTGTTGGATTTTTTCGGCTCTAAAATTAAATATTGAGTATTTAATTTAAAATAGTAAATACAGTATTGTATTAAATAAAAAAAGAAAATCTACTAACGATAAAAATCAAACATTAAATTATAAAATGTCTTGTTAGAATATTGAAGCACAATTGCATTCTGTTATTATAAATAAAATATTTAATAAAATTGGCAAAATAAACGGAAGTATAAATTTCAATTTTTAAAAATAAAAACTCGAAAATTTTAATTTTAATGATGTAAGATATTATTTTAAAGAAACATTTTTAAAAACTAATTATGTCTCTAGTAAAATAACAAGTTTACAAAAAAAGTTTGTCAATTATTATGGTTGTGATAATTGCGTTCTTAAGATATCATTTTTAATTAAGCTAAGGCCTTTTGAGACAACGTGAAGTCAGTGATCTTCTGTGAACTTCTAACTGTATATTTTCTATTTATATCTCATACTTATTTAATATTCTCAATATTTTTAATTTTACTCATCATTGTAGATTAGTTGTTTATTATTAAATAAAATCACCAAAAAATTCAATAAAATTTTTATTACAAAATTATAAATTGAAAATACGATAAACATTTAACAAATAAAGTACTTAAATCAAACTTATGGAACAGCGCTAAACACATAATTACAGAATGTATCCAATACATAAATATTTTAACAGAACTCAACATCCAAAACGATTTTTACACAGCATTAGAACGCAATCTAAACAACGTTATAATTATATATAATATGCATTATAAATATATATATATATATATGTATATATTAATTTAAAATACTATATATTTTAATCAATATAGAGTAAATAATTTTGACTAATAATCAATATTGGTACCTATTATGTTTCAGCTTAAAAATGTCATAATTTTTACACCACTTAATTTTACAATAAAAAAGAGTGACTGGTTGTATCATAATTCTCTATACTTGGTTGTATTTTTATACAAACTACAACAATAAACAGTATAATATATTATGAAGAGTGAAATACTGGTAATGAATCATATTTATCCTGGGTGTTAAATTCAGACTCAGGAAAAGAAACACATTTCGTCATGCAACTAAAAAGTTTTCACTTTACGTCTACTAGTATATTTTTTAAAACTCAAAAAACCGTTCTAATACCTTCATCACGTGCGAAACAACATGTCACGTTTGTCGGCTACCCTTGTTATATTATTTAACAAGTTTAGTCGTTTTGACCTAACCTTGTGTGTTATCAACCCATTTTGTTTATGTGGGTGTCAAGTCCAAATGCTACTTAGAGTCATACTTAGAACTTATTAAGCAATAGCTATGCTTCATTGGTTCGCAGGTGCACCAACATTTACATAATATTTTATAGAATATAAAATCACAAAAATTTTAATTTAAACATGTTAAATTTATAATGCAAATACTATTTAGACTATTCATTTAATAAAAATTGCGTTCCACTTTTTCTTTTGCATATTTATGATAAATTAAAAAAAGTAATTTTTTTATATATTATTCAAATACCAAATATTTACAGAATTTTTTTTTTTAATTAGGTGATTCAAAACATATTAATTACCTGTATATTATTGATTATTAATTCATAATATTTAATTTGTATAAAATTGTATACACATATTTAATTTCCACCATAGTAAATAAAGTGTCATTTTAATTTTAATTTTTATCTTTTGCTTTTTTAGGATAGCCAGTCAATAACGAATTCATCAAATAATGAAACTCTCGAAAATGACGAATATGATGAGAACATCGAAGGTTCTCCTTCCACATTATCTTTGTTTTGTATTGGTAAATAGTTTATTTATTCACTGTAACTATTAACAAAAATAGTATCTAATATACTGGTAATATTTTTGATGTAGGCTCATTTTTGGTAGTTGTGATATTCCTTTCGATTGCCGGTAACTTACTGGTGTGTATTGCTATTTACACAGACCGTGGCCTGCGACGGATTGGCAACCTTTTTTTAGCTTCATTAGCTATTGCTGACCTTTTTGTCGGAGCTCTTGTCATGACTTTTGCTTTAATCAATGATTTGAGAGGCTACTGGATGTTTGGTGCCAAATTTTGTGATATCTGGATAGCTATTGATGTTATGTGTTCCACGGCGTCTATTTTAAATTTGTGTGCTATTTCCTTAGACAGATACATTCACATAAAAGATCCACTCAGGTATTTATATAACGACAATTTAAAAATCAAAAACTCATTATTGATAATAATTACAATTTGCATTATTAAAAAAAGGATTTTTCACGCTAAAAGTGTTTTTAGCTTTAACGACAAGTTGAAAAAAAAATCGAATTGTTGCCAGAAAATATTAGCTCTTGTTGAACCAATTTTGCTTAACAATACTTAAAATACAATAAACATAATACAGTTTTACTCAACTTAAGTTCTTTGCTACATTATTAAATTTACCTATTATTAAAAACAAAATTATTATAAGAACGGCTAAAAGTTCCTTAAAAAAAATGTGCATTGTTTTAATCATATCAAGTACATTTAAAATTATATTAAAAATATTACGTAAAAGTTAAACAACTAAAAAAATATTTAATTATAAAAAAGCCACAAAAATGACTAAAAAATCGTATATTTACAAATATTGAAGTAGCTATGCATAATAAATTAATAATTCTATAAAACACTCGAACTATTTAACAATATGAAACATTAAAATAATATTCTCTTCAAATTTAGTTTGAAAATATAGTATTATTAATAAGTTTACAATTGATATGCCGTTGAATTTCGAAAAAATTATGTCAATTATATTTTAATTATATTTACAGACAATAGAAATAGATAAGCAAAAAAAAAAATAGTAATTGTATGAAAACACGTAACTAGAAAATTTTGATTTGCACATTAAATGAATCCTAAATTTAAGATACAAATTATACTGCAAAAATATTATTAACATTCAGGATTGATATCGTCATTATAAATCTACAATAATTGAAACTTAGATTATTTTTTAATACAAGTTTGTTTAATAGTAAAAATAAAAAGGCAGTCTGTACTTGCACTGGGAATTAATAAATTATTAGAAAAACAAAATAAATTTCAAACTAATATTGAGATGGATCCATTTTCATTTCGAAGACGAACAACTCAAATGCGGTTACCATTCCAATCACGTTTGTTCATCAACTTTCCTGCGTAATTGGCTTCAAATCGTTGTTATACATACCTCGTCACTATCAGTTGTATCCAACGGCTGTATCGCCTACCGATACTAGCGATGAATTTTAACACACTAAAATGATTATACACAAGTCACGGGCCGAACCTGTGGCTTTCGATTATGTTATATCAATTTTGGTTGTTAATCAAGTCTAACAATCTACTCGCAATGTTCATAAGAAGTTTATGTTTGATCAATCCAATTACGAAACTAAACAATTCCGAGTTTTAGCCGAAAAAAACGGTTTATTTAATAATCGAATAAAATTCATTAGCCAATATGTAACTTAATGTATAAATAAATTTTAGGAAATAATTACATGACTAGAACCTTTTATTGTAAGGATGAATAATAAAAAAATTCTCAAACAAAGGACTATGAAGGTATTTGTATATAAAATACACTAAGTGCATCTATTAAAAATAATAACTTCATTATTAATTTATTTTGTCTCTTTAATACTGTTATGATATATAAAAATAATCTAATAATATCGAAGAAAATATTTTATTTATTGTAATCACTATTATTTTTTTTATAACTAATGATTTCTTAACATTAATGATTTCATGTTGATGTAAAAGCGAATTTTATATAAAAAATAAATGAAAATCATAAGTAAATCATATTTTATGAACTGGATTGTATCTCAAAACTAAATGATTTTTATAAAATGTTTATAAAAATAAACAATTCAAAAGTTTTTATGAATATGTACACGTGGAAATAAAAATTAAGTAAGTGGTCGTAAACAAATTTTAGAGTTTTAAGCTCAAGAGGCTTTATCTATTTTATATTGTCCCATATAGCTATATGGGAAATGGAGATTATAAAAAATCAATAGAGCTTCAATTTGTACCCAATGTAAAATTCATAAGAATGAGCCAAGTTTTTCCCAGTATAATTTTTCAAGTAGCCCAGTCATCTGTAGGCAAAGTCGCTTACCCTTTATTGTTCTATAAAACAAGTATAAATAGTAATTTTTTTATTATTCAACAAACAATTTAAAACTAATATTTTGATCTAACATATATTTATAGTATTTGTAAATAACATCTAACAAAAAAATTCTAATAAGAGTAAGAATATTTTTAATTGTTTTTAAAATTCAAATATGATTATCATGATGTATTTAAAATTATAATTACAAAGAAATTGCATTTTGTCTGTCATGACGATAATGACTTTTAGTTTCATTAAAAACTCATCAAGTAACACTGTCGCCTGTTGGTACACAAGATAAGTTTACGAACATTACAGAAAACGCACATAATTATACAGTAACATAATAAAATTATTGAATTTTTTGCTATAAATTATTATCTTTTTCCCTCATTACAGTTCTGTGGATTTAAAGTCATAGTATTATTAAAATCAAAAGCTGAAGGAGATACTGCACAGAGAATAGAGTAATGGATTTTTGGCCGTTCGCCAAACGTTTACTGATGACGATCATACCCAGGGCGAGTTCGTTGAAGTATAATAAAGACTATCATTTTCCAACCAAATTAACAGATAACCCTTTTTTTTTAACTACTTTTCGACGATTTTGTAGCAGGATCTGAACCCACGATAAGAAAAATTTTATGCGGTTTACACTTCAATAACGTCAAATGTTTTGTAACAAAGTTATACAGTAAGTGATTGCTGTACATCAAGAGTCTTTGAAGATCTGTTTGTTTCCCGTTTTGGCGTTTCCGACAACGTTTACAACTACCGACAAAGTGACACTGTTGCTGTTTATTTTTTTCGTTATGTTCTTATTCATTAGACGTGAAAAGATTGCCGGTAAGCTTGTTCGCGAGTACTTACGGTTGGAAAAGTTTCTTGCGATTGTCCATGAGGCTAAATACTGTCTCCAGAGGAAACCGTCATCAGCAGAACGACGCGATTTGCATTTAAAAAACGTACCAGCTCGCTCAAAACATAATTTAGGGCTATACTCGCATAATATATTATTCGTCCTTTAAGAAGTACTCTCCATACCCTTATCCGATTCTATTGTTCTTATTGAAACATTTTTCCGTATAATCATTGCAATTGTTACGGTGAATAATTTATAAAATAAAAATGATTGTGCTGTATTTTTTAGTTCTCGTTAACTCGTAATTATTGTTGTTATTACTATTGCATTTGGTTGTGAGTTAAAAAAATACTTTTGAAAAACTTCTACAATACTTTTTAACCGTGTACACNAAATAGCAATATAAAAAATACTTTTGAAAAACTTCTACAATACTTTTTAACCGTGTACACATCCGACCGGAGCATTTGCAAAATAAAAAATAATAAGATGATACTTTCTCGGGATCAACTCTTTAACTATACTTAAAACTATATAGGTACATTTTAGTACTCTCTGGTTCGCAAAATAACACAATACGTATACTTACATCATTTAATATATTTTCGAAATAAATTCTCTGAAAATATTACTACAAACCTTTTGTATACTATTCGAAAACTAATATTTTTTATATATTAATAAGTGCCCTAATGCTATATATTTTTTTTATGTCCTACATGCGTTGTGCCTTTTATAGAAAATAAAATTATGCTATGTATATTTCATTATTATGGTCTATTGTTAGCTCTAAAAAACGACATTTTCATTCACATAAATTTATAAACTTACCTAACGTTTGATAAATAAAATAAGGCTAGATTTATTTATCTGACATAAATATTTGCACGAAAAAGAAAATATTTGAAATTTAACTATTTTTTGTTAAACGTGTATCTTTCACGTGTGTCAATAATGTTACCGACAAAAGATATTGGACTTGATATACGATGTATATGTCATATATCAAGCCGAGAGTATATTTTCAGATAAAACAATGACAATAGAAAATTATTTTAATAAAAAAAATGACAATATTTATTATAGAACAGCTTTTAAATTAAACATTTTACCAACGAGAAGCTAGTTGTGACATTCGACTGATTTCTTCAAGGTAAAGTATAAGACAAATATTATCTATTAATAATGTGATTCTGAACGTAATGTTCTCACGGTTTATATTTATCATTATAATTTATTTATGGATTTTATAAATAAAAACATGAAATAACTAATATTTTTAAATGATGCAAACGTTAATTTTTTTTATTCGCTTTGATATTGTTAAATCCTTTAGTATAGAAATAATTGTTTACGCTTATCTTGAAGTTAAATTTAAATTGTAAACATTTAATTTTAGCAATATTGATCTCACTTGACATGCGCAACTTATTGTATTTAATGAGATTACCTTACAATTAACCCCATCTTGTTGAATTGAATAACTTACAATATTAACATTGAGATTTGAAGGTTGCTGTTTCATTTTATGATTTCGTGAAAATTAATATGATTTATGAACACAAATATGTCATTTAAATCATAATATAAACGCCTTTGAATATTAGTAAACAAAATGGTGTAATTAAATAAAAAAGATTCACGTCAAAAAAAAAAAAAATAATACAATTATATTTAAAAAAACAAATGTATTATAAAATTAAAAAGATGATTAAAATTTTATACTTAAACTGAATTAGGAATTTGAAAATGCTCTTTTTGCTAGAGAAGTGTGAAAACTGAAGATGATTTATTAGAATTTGAGTTCTGGTTAACCTAATAACAATAATACATTATTTAATTAGAAAAATCATTAAGTATTTTCTTACATGTCACAAAAGCACTTTTATATATATAAAAACTTTAGCATCAGATAATTTCAAGGACCAGTAGGTTCAAAGGCAGCTACTACATTTTTATAAATATTGTCGAGTAAACAAAATTATAAATGAAAAATAAAATGAGAAGAATACTGAATATACATACTTACATAGTATGCCGTTTACAATCCACTTGAAAAATATCGTTTAGTATGATTTTTTCACGTGATAAAAGTAAAAACGTATTTGATTTCACTTAAGGTCGATTTTTGTAAAGCATATTTTCTATTCCAAAACACACACTATAGTACAGCAATGAGGCCAAATCAACAGTCAAACGTACATACATATTAGTATATTAATATAAAAATATAAATAATTGTAAGATGCAAGATTTTTTTTTTTTTATAGCTTTTGTATAAACTCGTGCTGTGTTGAATTTTTAAGTGGATTTTAAAGCGTTTATATGTTTGACACGAGTTGGGTGCAGATTTGTAAGAAATAAATAAAAGAACTATTTAATCCAATTGGCATATTTTAAAAGGTTATCCTAAAAATAATTTATAATAAGATCTTCTAATTTTTAATATTTTAATTCTATATAATTGATTTTTGGAATATTTAATAAAGTTGATGTGTTTACCTAACATTACATCAGCTCGAAAATTTGAAAAAATAAAACACATAAGGTGCTTAATTANGAAAATTTGAAAAAATAAAACACTTAAGGTGCTTAATTATAACTTGGCTCAATGTATTTAATTTTTTAATTATAATTACCGTCACTTTTGACGGTTATTTATAATTTTTAACTATAATAAAAACATTAACACATTTTGGACGACTACAAGTAGTTGAAATAAAGGCAAGCGAAAAGAAGATTAACAGATTATCATTTGCTAACAATTTCTATAGTGGGGTGTACAAAATTGGAAAAGTTTGTACTTAATAATATTCTGCTAAATAAAAGTGTTCTTCTCTATCTTTTTTCGTAAAACACAGACCAGTGTTTCGTAGACTATAATCGTAAAAAAATCAAACTTCAATAAAACTACTTTATTTTTAATTTTATTATTACGTGCATCAATATCAATGGTCATTAGTGAACTTTTAACATAAGTGTTACTACATAAATACATGAATCAATATGAAAATTAAAATTAATAATATTTTATTGTATAATTAGAACTGTCGTTACAATTGTTTTAAGATATCTGTATAGTTTAATAAATGAAAAAGTTTAACTTCATTTTCTAATTGTCATTCGAGGCTTTTAACTAGGCGGTGGCTTATTGTGAACAGTTCTCTGGCCTTTTAGTATGTTTTGCAATACTTTAAAAATATTTTTGATCTATAAAGTTGTACCACATGATGAAGATATTGGAGGTTTCCCTCTCTCTATTAGAAAACCACGAGTCAGTCGTGTATGTAGGACTTACACATAGGATGCGGATTCTATTAATTCTTTTTTTCATTACTAATACTAGAATTTTAGTACTCTTTAATTCATATAGTTTGTTATTTGAATATTTCAAATTGATTTACCAGTTTTGTATGGTGTTGAATTTGATCTATTTTTTTATGTCATTGTACGACTCTTGGCGTCTGCATTGTTTGCAACTGTCTTTTCTATAGCTCTTTTTGAAAATTCATTAGATGTTTCGTTGACTTTTATACCGACATGACCGGGTACCTATTACTATATCATTTTCTATTTTTTTTTTTTTTTTTTTTTAAATTTTNNNTTTTTTTTTTTTTTTTTTGAGATTTTTCCATTTGGATAATTATTTTTGTCTCAATGTCATCAGGTTTGAAAATGTTTTGTAAGTTTGTGATAACACTTAGTGAGTCGCTTAGTATGATATACTTGTTATTTTCTGTGCTATTAATAATGTCAATTGCCGTTGAAATAACTATAGCTATAATGGAATATAGTGAAAGCTACAATTTGATTGATGAATTGAATAAAAAAGAAAAAGGAGGTAAAATATCAACTAGATCAAAATTTATTAGAGTTGTCAGATAAATCTGTTTATATACTCTGTACTTTTTTTTTGGTATTATAACAAATAACTTTTCATAAATTATTAACAAACATAATGAATTTTTTAAAATACCAAAAATATATTTGTAATTACAATTTTTAGAAATATTGATTTTTTCGTGCCATTAAAATGTTCTATGAAAATAGTAATTAAAATCGATATGTAATGTTTATTTTTCAGTATTTTTTATTAATATTTGTTTTTAATAAACTATTCTATTTCTTCAATAAATTGCATATATATCCTTACAAGAATTAAAAATGTAATGCTTTTAAAAAAGATTTTGTTACAATGAAACAGTATTTGTTAAAAAAGTTAAATTTTCTAAAGAAAAAATAGGTTTACAGGTGAGCAATAATGATATGAGTTACTGTAGAACCATTATAACAGTTAAAAGTGAATCTTTTCTTTAAAAAAAAAAATTTATTTTAGGTATCATATGAAAATAAAAGATTTTAATAGATAATTTTTCTATGTTTTTCTATTATAATTTATTCATTGTATTAATAAAATGGATTGAAAATTTCTTAAGCAAGTGAACTAATTTCATTTTATTGTACAAATATAATAACGATAATGATTTACTTATTTTTATTTACTATTTAATAATATATTAAATCTACTTCCATGAATCTTAATGAACATTTGTACAGCTAGCTACTTTTATTATTCACTTTAGGTTTTGTACCTTATTCATTCTGATATAACTACTTTTCCTTAATTGTTTTTTACCTTCTTTTATGGATTGCTAACATTGTTTGATGTTTCTGTTATTCTCCGACAAATTTATAACACAATCGTATTAAAACATACTTTTTCAAAAAAAAAAAGTAATTTAAATTGTCAATGCTTTAAAATGTCCAATAGTCCTGGTTATAGTCAAAATACATTTTATTGTATTTTCTAGATTTCTTATATAAATAAATGACTCATTAGGTTTGAAAATCATAAATCATACACACTAATACTTTACAATGAAACGCACATGTGACACGAATGTGATATTTTGTCGTTACCACTCATCTTAATTTATAAATCGTTTGATAACTTATCTAAAAAAGTGAAAATATATTTATTATTAAGTATAATTGCAAATATAAACAGTAAATTTAAATGTTGAGCGAAAAATTCAACAAAAAAAAAATTTTCATCAAACGTTCTGTAGTGAAGATATTGGTATGATAATATTTATACAATTCTTTTTATTGGGGTAATTAAAAATAAATAAAATCTGAAAGCAAAAATATGTTTAGAAAAAAAAGTTGAATAAAATTAATCAACCCTTTTATTTTCATTTACACAATAATATTAAAATATTTTCCATGATAACTTTACCTAATAAATATGAAATTGCATATAAACATCAAATCTATCATGGCAAAAAACCTTTTTTAAAGAAATAGAAAATATAAATAGGTACCAAATCAATTATTTTTCTTGGATATTTCAAAACTACAGCTAATTGAAACCATTTGATAAAACCTGTATTTTATATCAAGAGAAATAATTCTATTGTACTTGAACATTGTAAACGTAAAAGACGTCGCATAATAACTAACTCGAGACTTAATAATATGCCTACAGAATCAATATGAAGTGCATTCTGATTACATTATGCAATAACACACAAACTACAAAGTATAGTCAAGTATATCATCGACTTCAGAGGTATAATTTTGTTTTATGGGTAGCACCTGGTGTAGAGAATAATGTTTAGTGTACTAATCTAATTTTATTACTCTTACATGTTGTACACACATGAAATGTAATAAAAACATTTATTTTTTTTCAGATACACTACATATTTGAATAGAAGAAATGCCCTGTTAGGCATTGCTGGAGTATGGGCCCTGGCCGCATTTGTCTCGGTAGTTCCCATATGTATACTGAGCATTCACAGACCGCCAAAACCGGCAACGGGACTATCCGAGAACATGACGTGCGCACTGGACTTGACACCCACGTATGCGGTTATTTCTTCGTGTATTAGTTTTTACATACCATGTGTGGTGATGATAGGCATATATTGTCGATTATACTGTTACGCGCAGAAACACGTACAGAGTATACGAGCGGTAACTCGACCACTTACCACAACCACGGTCATGACGTCATCCACGCTGACCGCCGTCCATCACCATACGTCACCGTACCATGTCAGCGACCACAAAGCCGCCATAACCGTAGGCGTCATCATGGGCACGTTTTTACTGTGTTGGGTGCCATTTTTCTGCGTTAACATCATCGCCGCGTTCTGCAAGACTTGCATTCCAGATGCTGCGTTCAAAGTGCTCACGTGGCTTGGCTATTCGAACTCTGCGTTCAATCCAATTATCTACTCGATATTTAACACCGAGTTTAGAGATGCATTCCGCCGCATACTCACCACGCACTATCCAGACTGGTGTTTCTGTAAGGACTACAGTTCTGTAGTGCTCAACTCGGAGTCGTCCGTTCGACATCAGCGAAAGACCAGAGGCGGTTACGATTTTGAATCGTCCGTCGGGGCCGTCACCATTAAACAGAACGGGAAAGCTGTTGGCGGTGCTGCGACAAGTCCCAGGTCGTCTGTGGCTTCTCTTCGACATTCTCGACTAAACTCATCTGAAAAGGTGATCATCGAAGCTGAAGAGACGAGCATCATCTGACCAAGTAGTATCAATGAAATTCCACTTTTTGCAGTAGAATATCTTGTATAAATCCAAAATGAATGTAATCCATTTGCGTGGGATTACAATCAGAAATATTGTAATTAAAATAAAACTATCGTCGTCTAACTTGAAGGGGTATTGAGTATTCCAAAAAAGTGTTGATATTTTAACCATGTTCAAATTAAGTCATGAAAAAGTACGCATTTTTATGTATTCTTGAATGACTCTTCTACATTTCCATCTCATAATTACTCACGGAATTTAATATTTAATTATATTCAGTATACCGATAACTACCGACACGTCATATTTTATACTAAGATCGTTATTTTGAACACTTCAAAAAAGAAAAGCTACTAAACGCTTTTAAGTGACATTATACATGTAATGTGAATTATCGATTTTCCATTAACTATGTCAGTTGTTGAGTACCGGCTTAAAGGTTTCACTCACAAAAAATAAACACTTTTTATATAAATTAAGTACAACTTTTAAACGATTGGTTTTTGACCGAGTATAATAAGAGTCACGTTCAATTCTATTGATATTAGCTGAAAACTTTTAATATACTTTATACTTAAGCATTGACAACAATATGAATTATGAAATGATGAGAAACGTCTTTCGTGAAATAGAAGAAGCGATTCTTGGTACTTCAATTCAAGTTGATCTACTTGATCTGTTCCCGGATATTCTGTTGGTATTTCCATTAATTTTCTGAAATATTTGAACTGCTTTAATCCTTTTCAACTTAATAAACTTCTGTTATATCTTGTTTGTGTTGTCTGAAACCATAAACTAATAACATTTCAAATTCCGTTTTAAAACTACACATTAAGTATCAATGTCGCAGGTTTCACAGGACTAAACTAAACTATAGAAGTATTTATAAATAGTAAGATATGTAATCCAGGGCTAATGTATTAAAAGTATGTAGATTCAATATTTTCAAAAGATTATGGAAACATAAAGTCGAACATCCCACTCACTGTTGTATTCTTAAAGCAACAGTCAGGCATTGACGGTAATAACATTAACACGAGTAATTAAACTGGAAAGGGTTGTTAATTAAAATCCTTATGTAATCTACTTCTGCATCGCATCAGCTGGTTTCATGTTATTGAGCGTATGGGTTGTGTACTATGTAATATTCCATCCATATTAAGACGTTACTGTTAATCTCATAACATTATGGCAATAAACACGCCTAATACGAAATTCAATTTAAGCAACTAACTCAACACCAAAATATAGGTTTATAGGTTACTGTAATATACATGTTTAGTATTTCATTGATTTGTCTTTTTATTATTTAATACATAGTCGTATAAATGAATGGACCAGAAACGATAGACATTTTATATGTATTACATTTAAGCTTATATGTGCTGCTTCATATGAGGAATTTTTATGAAAGATTTACTTGTTTTGCATTAACTTTATGCAATGGTGTATTTACAAGGAGATCGTAGAACCCCCTATACTATAAAAAACGCAGTAGCAAGAGTAGTGGAAGGGTGAATCTCCCCAACAAAATTTCTAAATACGCTACTGTTCCTATGTAATAATTTGCAATTTATATACAGAACATCAAAAGTAGTATAGTAACAAATAAATTAGTACACAACAAATAAAATGTTTTCGATAAATATTCTTTTATATAAAGTCATGTTAGATTCACGAAAAACAAGTTCTTAGTCTATTCCTTTATATGTCTACGATATGACACAGCATAAAATTTAATTTTTTTTTTTTAATAATTTTATATTAAAAATAATTTAAAATTTGAGAGCAATATACTATCTGTTTTGGACAATCTATTCTTTCATTTCTATGGCTTCTTAGTATTTTATTTATAAAATCCCAAAATTAAATTAAATCCATAATATAGACAAATTTACTCAATTAAAAAAAATACTCAACTTGACCCCCTAAAAAGGGCTCATATTTAATAATTAATAAAAACTTTAGAAAGAAATATTATCCGAAAAGTTAAAGGTATTCTAGTGTTTTTTTTTTTTTTAATACCTAAATATTTAATTAATAGCTTGGGGTTTAGTATAATACAAAACTGCAACAGTCATAACATTAGTTTTAATATTAAGTTGAAATATTTGAAAAATTATGTTAATAAAAACACATTTGATACAATGTTTCAAAACTTGAAATTTAATTTATTAGGTTGTTATCAACTTCTTAATAAGTGGATGCTACGTTTTCAGAATAAACAAAGTAGAAAATGTTTTTTAAAAAAGGTGTGAACCCTTTTTTCAATTTGAATAAGTATATTGTGTTTTATTTATGATTGTATTCCATTCTAAGACCAAGACATCTTAAAAAACTTAAACTCGTCTCGAGCTTATTGTTGCTTAAAATAATGTATTTATTGTACGTTTTTGTCAGTCTACTTTATTATCAAACAATACTTGTAAACCCAGAAATGTTTATGTTAGCATATATAATATACGAATAAATAAATAATGTATAAAGTTTTTAAGTACTTAAGTTTCATGTATGCAAGCAATAGGTGTTTAACCACTGAATACGTACATAAAAACGAAATTGTACAGTAAGTGTTCAGTCTAAACGGATTTAGGTCTAACCAACTTAAGATCCTCCTCTTGCAGAATTTAGTACTCTTAAAAACATTTAAAACATATCCATTTGCATCACATAGGCAACTCTGTTGGACAACTAAGAGTATTCACCTAGTATAAAGGACTAATAAAAAAATAATACTGATGTGCTTAATAACTCCAATATACTAGGTCTCCCCTATTGAGTAAATTAATTACTAGAGGATTAAACTCTTACGTGTAACTGTACCCTTGTATATGTCTTCGTGATTTATTCAATACATAATATATTTTAAGACAATTATTTTTACTAAAAAAAAAACAAAAGCTACTAGTTAAATTATGTATATTTTTTAAAATTTTCTTTCTTGTAAATATTGTAGATTATATAAACATATATTATTATTATACGAGTACATATTGTAATGTTTATGATATTAATGACTTGTGAAAAAAGAAATATTAGGGGATATTTGATGTTTTTTTTACATCGTACTAAAATCAGAGAACATTTTTGTTTGTATAGTAACACCAATTTTATTGTTTCTCTAATTAAAATTAAATTGTATTTTCCCTTTGTAAATATGTTATGATGCATTGTATAAATAAATTGGATTTTTGTTAATTTGGTGCAATGAAAAATTCATTTATGTAAATAACTCATCGTACCTTCTTGTCTACAATCCTTTGCTCACTAACAATGTATTTTTGTTATTATTTAATGTGATATTTATGATTGTTTTGACTTAAAACTATTACTGTAATTATAATTATAACCCTGTTACCATTTATCAAAATTACCCTGGTGTATTCAAGATTGGATACTTAAGCTTAAGTTTTACTGATTTTTATTATTAAAATAAAATCCAAAATTATTTGTAATTAGAACAACGTTTAAATGTGATTTGTTAGTTAAAATTTTTACAATTTGTTTTGCCAATAAAAGTTTACTTTTTAAGTTATTTATGTTTATAAGGTCTATTAAGAATTATCGTTACCCTTATTAAGTTCATAATAAGATTTATTTTAAAAAAGGTCATTAACAAACAAATATATTACGCAATACTTTAACTTAAATTATTAAATGGAAACAATTCTTTTTTAAGTACACCAAGTTTACTATTGTTGATTTTTACATAAATTAATCTAAAAAATTTAATATAATAATATATATTTTTAAACTACCTGGTAATTAATAAAAATATTGCATCAATATTACATGAGTTACAAATAACAATTCATGTTAATAAAATAACCAAATCAAATATTTTGGAAATTTTCAATGTCATAAATGCTTAGTTTTATTCATCGGTTCTATATTAATATACAACATCAAACTCATATTTTTTTCTTCTTTTATCTAAAGTATAGCAGTATAATTTAATAAAATCCTTTAAAATGTGTGTTTTGTGATACACTATATATCTAATAATTTTAAAGTGCAAAACTGTAGAAAAAGTATGTGTTGTTTTTAAAATGTATACAAGTAAGAATTTTTGACTGTTAATTTCAATATTTATTTTTGAGTTATATAATTTGTAGAAAAACTTTTTAAAACGTTTATAGTAAGATACTAGAATATATTATATACCGTATATTTGACTGATATTTGAGCAAATGTAACTAATTTATAAATTCCGATTAATATTACCTACAATGTCAAATAATTTGATATTACAGTATAAATTTTTCAACACAATGAATTCCTTACCTTCAATATTATTACTAATTTTATTTTTGGGCCATTAATTAATTTGTAGAAGTAGTATGTTTTTTTTCTATACAAGTTATAAATTAAAGAATAACAATTTTTTTTCCGAAGAATTCATAATGAATATTGATCAAAAATTTAATTTTTTCATATTTTCAAACATTTTTAATTAGATATCACGTAGTTAATTTATTTCAAAATCATTATTTCTAGAAATGTAGTCTACCCAGTTCAGTCAGTAACGCATCATGTCTCGGTACTTTAGTAGGTGCCGGAGTTTAATTTCGTTGTACTAGACTATATAAGTTTTCCCATCCTCTCTAGCAAAAACAATAGCTTATGTTTTTCAAGTAAACCAATCTCTAATGTTACCACACAATTCATTTTAAGTATGTTTAATTATAATTATATTTTATTTGTAATTATATATGATGTTGAAATATAATTGAGATTTATTAATTTTACTGTACTTACTTTATGTTACAATTAACTTAAACTGAACTTGTATATTATAACTTAACGTTATTATTATAACGTTGGAATATTAATTTTGTATTTATAAAAATTGGTAATAACTATTATTACTATTATAACTTAAAATTATAAAGATAAATAATTATATTTTACAGGTATACTTTGCAAATAACTTTGTATAATGTATAAAGGAAATGATTGAATGACAGATCAGTGAAAAAATTAAAAATTGTAGGTAGTAAAAAATAACATCAACGTTATATTGAAAGAAAGGTAAAGAATTTTTTTAACTCCCTTAGAACGATTATTAAAATAAAATTAAAACGTTTTAAATACTAAAAACTTTAAACACATTAGTAAGAAAACATTTAATTAAACCATATCATTAAACAAACAAAAAACTATTTCAAACCCTGTTCTAAAGGGTTAGAAACACTTGATTGTTCTATGAATTAATTTTCAGAAGGAAGGGAAATTAGAATTTAGGTATTTCAAAAATTCACTATATCCTTTAATATAAACAATTGTATTTTATAATAATTTTTTTTTCTATCACTGAATGTACTTGAAGAACTGTAATGTGGCATAGTAACTGCCAATTGTCATACAGTCGCAATTGTTAACCAAATTTTTGCTATTAATTCCTGGAAAGATGAACATACGAGAATTTTAACAGCACTACACAGCTTCCTTCTTAGTAGATCTCTCAGCTATAATTAAGTTGCGTTATATTGATAGCCGATATAAAAAGCCTATCGAATTAATAAATTAGAGCTGAATCCAAATAATTGGAATTGAGACTATGGAGATGATGATGACTTGACCTTTGCTAATTATGCTTTTAACTATACTATACTGTACAATGTACAGTAGAAGAATTTAATCATTAATTTAACAATTTTAAACTTGAATTACTCTTTCGTACAGACTACTTGATTTAAATAAAAATCAAAAATTTAATTATAGCAGTAACGTGTTTAAAAATTTTATATGGAGGCATCAAATATCTTTTATAGCACAGAGTATTAAACAGATTCACTATTTTGCTACTTCCGCCAGAATAATTTTTTATTTATGGGGGAACATATAATTCATATGCGGTTTTAGAATTCTGACTCCCGAAATTCCCTTTGTGGATACGACACTGAATCATAGTATTCTTTTTCCGAAATGAACTTTGCTTACAGTTGGAAATTTTTTCGATAAATGTATTTTTTATGTTAACACTTATTTATTATTACATTAAACCACATAATTAAATAAATATATATTTTTTTGTCCCCTACACACCAAAATTGTGTATTTCAATAAAATAAAGCATTTTCTGAAATTTTATCTTCCAATACCCAACTCAAAAATTGAAGTTTAGTTAATATTATTTGTAAATGTATCTGGTACTGTATAATATATGATAAATAAAAACGTGAATATCATATTCTATTAGAAACTTGTTGGTGAATCATAGTCTATTGAATGACCCAATTGAATCTGGGCTTTAAGGGACTTATTATTTTAGTCGCGTGCAATACATTTTTCTTTAGTGTTATTATATTATACGCTTTATCCGATAACCAAACGCAGTTTGTGCCATTCTCATGATCGCATCTAGTTCTCAAAAGATTTTTTTCCTATGGTTATACGTTACCTTTCGATGGTTCTTAGTTTTTTGAGTACTTGGTGACAATACGAATAACGATAACGGTCTTAGCAGCCTTATTTCGATCACGAGCACATAAAATTGACATTTATCGCTTTTCTATAGGTATGCAGATATTTATTACAAATCGTATGTAAATCTATCCAACGACAAAAACTACATGTAACCCATTTCTATGCGACTTAGAATGCGTGATAAATAAATTACTAAGATTTTTTTGTACTCGGATGTGATATTAGTATATTGATTTATACAATATCACTAGTAAACTATGCTGGTAAGAATACATAATACGTAAAAGTACGTCTGTAAATTACAACGTCAAACAAAGTTGATACATTGTTAGATAAAAGTAACAATAGCTAAAAGGATTGTATTAAATATATATTATGTCACAGTCACTTGAACTATTCACATTGTTATATCCACTTTCCTTAGTCTATATGATCGGTTTAAAGTCATTTGAAATTTTTTGTCAGCTTTAATAATTAACTTTGTTTTTATATATGGTGAAAATCAAACATACTCGAACACGGTAAATTCTAAAATCTTATGAATGCCTTACTGAAAACAGTTAAATTATTTAAATTATTAACAATACGACAGGCTTGTCTCCTTTTTTTTTTAATAGAAAGACTACTTTAGTTTTATATTTTTATTTCTAGTTTAAGTTTTATAACATTTTGAAAAAAACTTTATAATATACAAATTAACTCTATTAGTTTCTATGCTATTTACTATAGTTCATAAAATAATGTCATTAACTTAAAAAGCAACTAAAAATTGTTTTGAAATTTGTAAGTTTTAAGTTTTCTGGAAATACTTACAAATGTATGCTCAAAAATTACAGAAAAATCTAGAGGATGGTTAATTTATGGTTAGCCACAAAATTTCTTCTAAAATAGAAATAATTTTGAGAACTTTTTCTTAGCTCATTTAAGTATTATTAATTTCTCAATATTTAATTGGTTAAATATTTTTTATGTCCGTCGATTGTCCCTATAAGGATACTAACTTATTATTTTAAAGTGACAACATGAATATGTAACTAGTTTATCAAGTGAAAAATAACCCAACTAAAAAAATGACTGATTGATAACAACTTTGAACCAGGAAGTCTATTTTTAAACTTGGACTAATTAATGGTGGATGTTTTAGTATAGTAAAATATTAAATGATGATTTCAGTGTAGTAATTGAAATTCGTACAGTTAATTTTATTTTTTTATTTGTCTAAAAATCTTGCACTAATTATACATCGTCTAAACTAATGTCTTTTCAAGGTAATTATTAGAGCGATATATTAAATTATATTAGCTCTACTGTATATTATAAATCATTGATACTTCATATGTAGTATAATATTTTTACATACTTTATGCTCTATACTTAAAGCAGACTCAATGAGATTCTAAGTATGGGCGTAACTTATAAATTAAACTTAGTACAAGATCTTTTGTTAATCTAAATTTTTGTAAAAATGGCTTTTCGGAGAAATATTGTAGATATTAACATTTTATAAATGTAACTAGATAAATTCACATATTGTAATTAGTTTTGTAATACACTAACGAATGGATCTTCCGTTATATGAAATCTGTTAAATGGTCATTATCTTCTTAGATAATTTTTGAAATTATTTATAACTTCAACATGATTTATATTAAGGAGATATTTTATTCTTGTATTAATAAATTAATATCCAAACAATATAACTACACAAAAAATGATGCATTTTCATAGGAAAATGATTTATTTCATATAAATTAAACATAAAGTAAAAACCATAAAAAAAAAACTATAAATTTCTTGCTTAAGCCATTTGATATCTATAAAATTATATACATACCCATTTATTTAGAAAAGTTAGGTTTGTAAGTGCATCATAAACATTACACATATCTCTGTGTTTATTAAGGTTTCTGTTGGTCAGCCATTATTTCTTTATGTTTAATCGCTACTTCATGTTGTGGTGGCTGTATACCTCTAATCATCATTTCTTGGTATATTAATGACTTTCTAAGGATAGGTAAACTTTTCTAAAATTTAAAATAAAAATTTATGAATGACAAAATATTTTTATTAAAACTCTTTATAATATAATCCAGACACGAATGACCATTATTTTGAAACAAATTTCATTTTGATGCGTTTTACTGGTTGTATTTTTTTTTTTTTTTTTTTCAAATTTAAACANTTTTTTTTTTTTTTTTTTGTCACACTATACACGATAACTCTAGTGGATCAAATTTGTTCAACGATATGTCAAAAGATCACAATTGAATCTGTCAGCACCAGAAATTTATAAAAATTACCACAATAAAGGGAATGACCTAAAACAATACTATACGGAATATGTACATCATTTAAAAGTAAATAAAATTTAAGGTATTTTTGTGTACTATATTATTAAAAAATATATTCTAAGTTCTACGAGTAATTGACCTCTAAAGTTGAAGATCATGTAAATTTTATTGAATATGACAAATCTTATACGTATCGAACCTTTTTATAACAGTGATTTTAATTACTGTCAGATATCAATCAATACTAATTAGAAAAAATTCCTCAAATCCATTACACTGGATATCGACTGTACTTTTTCTTTTTCCTCGCCTTTATCCTAACTACTTGGAGTCAACCACCCTTATCCTAAACTTTCACTTGACAAAATCTACCACATCATCTATGCACACATCAATAGTCCTCACATCGCATTAAATAACATCACTCCATATCTTTTTTGGTCTTTGTCTACCACTTATTCCTTCAAAATTCATTTCCCTAACTGTTGTTACAGTTACCGATTCCTCTTTCCTCATCACATAACCAAGCAATCTAAGTCTATTTTCTTTCAACTGTACTTAACTTTTTACAATTCAATAATGAAATAATGATTTAATTGATTAATTATGTAATAACACGATCAATAAAATAAAATCGCCTCAATATTTTGTTATTCAAAGTTACAGTGCAATACATTTTAAAGTACCTCAAGAAAATCAATTAGGGATGGCTGCGGTGAAGCATTTAAAAGCTTATAAAGTTTATCACAAAACTGTTCTGACTCTATTTTAGCATCAACTAAGTCTTGAACTAATCTTTGTACAGTACTTCCGATAGGTTTTGGTTCTTTACTTGAAAGATCCAGTAGGTTGACAAGGAACTTATGACATTTGAATTTTGCATTATTTTCCAATATTTTTAATTGTATCTATAAAATAGCTTTGTAAAATATGAATTTTTTATACAAAGTTAGTGTAATATAAAATTTGTTAAATCAATAATGTGTTTCAATTATTAACAAATTTAGATTAAAGTACCTGTCGCGTTTGTTTCGAATCCTGAGTTGAAACAGCATGTTTTGAATTCGCAGAAGAACTGCTCTGGAAAAATGTTGTTTCATTATTTAACCTAACTAATATTTGCTACAAATAAAAAAGTATACAATTATATAAAAAATAATATATATATTATACAACTGATAATTTTGTCATTGCAGAGCAATAGTCATATCCACAAGATATTTTTACTGAAAAAAAAAATTTTTAATATTAAATATTTAAAAATTATAACTTACAGGACTTTTTTGTTGCTTAATATCTAAATGTTTATCATTATCAGTTTCTGGTTCAGTAATTTTGATGGCTGGAATTTTTGTGTCCAGTGATTTATAATCAGGAGACAGTGAAGATATAACAAATGATTGATGAAGTTGAGAATGTGGTGTGATCTTTACTGGTTCTGATTGTGTTGTAGTAGAATACTCGTTCAAGCTAAGATCATTGTTTGTACTAATTTTTGAAGAACTTCTGTTGTCTTTTTGTAAGCTTGGCGTATTTAAATGAACACCAGGAACCTTACCGTGTAACATACAACTTGCTAATTTAAAAATGTTAAATTCGTACTTAGATCAAGTAGTATTATTAAATATAAAGCTAAAATTGATAAACGGAACCCAGACCTTAAGGAACACAAAACCCTACTTAAAATAAATTGTCACATATAATTAATATTTACAAGGCTATAAAAACTAATGTTTTTTAACCCGTTGAAATAAAGTTATTTGAAAAACTTTTTAGTAAAAAGTTAAAGTTATACAATTGTTTCTTAAAATTAATTAAATTAAAAGTTAAGTAACATTTTCTCCTATACTTAACAAGTTAAGTTCAGCTTAGTCAACTAGTGCCGGTCGACCAAGCTTAAAAAGTAGTGCATTAGTAGTATAAACACATATGATATGTTAAATATTATTCGTCAAACAAGTTCAACATCAATGGCAAACGTTCATCAATGTCTAAAATTAATTAAAAAAAAGAAAAATTTTTTCATATTGTATAAAAATACTATAAAGAAAATTATTTAACAAAAACTGACAAAAATAGACGTTAATTAATCGTCGAATAAAATATACATTAAATCAAAACTAAGTTAGCGTAAAATCCCTAATAAGCTTAAAAGTTTAACTTGAACTGAAAGCACTTAAATCAAAAACTTAAGAGAGGATAAAAATAAAAATAACATTCTCTGATAGTATTAGTTTACAAAATTTGTATAACCTAAGTGATTAAAAATGAATCATTGTGATTGCTTATATATTCAATAAATTTTATTATCAGAATATTGTTATATAAAGTGTTCAGTAAGTTAGAAAACTGAGTTCTATTGTTTTTATTGTCTGTAACAATTGACCCGTTTCTTACACACTGAACACTGTATAGTCAGTTAAAAGGCTAATTGCTAATCTGCTATTTGTTATTAATGACACTAGCTAAATAGTTTTGTAGACGACTCTGCCAAATCCATATATTGTTTGTACTTACGATAACATATTTTATAGTGTATTATTAATAATTAAATTTTATGCTGTAAATGACATTAAATTTGTAGGTATGAAAAAAATTCGTTGTAAGCGCTAAAATATAATGTAGGTCCATTCCAATTTAGTAAGCGACGTTTCAATTATTGTTTTAAACATCATTATATTTTAAATTTTGTCGTACATGTCAAGAAACTAATAATATGAAATACTAATGAATCGATAACTAGTATAATTCAAATTATGTAAATATTATATATTTTAGATTATTATATTATTATTATATTATAAGATTAATAAACGTATTTATAAAAAAATATACTAAATGACTATCAACAAAAGTTATACTATTTGAAAATTAATAAAAAATTGTTTTCTGGCTCTCCTGAAAAGTATGAATAATGTAATTTACAGCAAATAACCTTTTAACCGACTAAGTATTGTTATAATATTAACTTAATTATACTATGTTAATTAATAATATTAATAGTATTAATACAAAAACATTTCAAAACTGGAACAATCGTTAACCTATTTCGAACTTGACGATTTTATGATAAGCTTTTTCATTTTATTCATGTTAAACTTAGATAGAAAGAGTTCATTATGTATAATTTTATTAGTAGTTGTGTAATGGTATATTGAATTTCTTTAAGTATTTTGAATAGTTTAAGAGTGAACGTTAGTATACACTGAAGATCCTCATGAATTCAATGAATCTTGTACAATAGTAACAAAGAGAAACGCTACGATACGAAAGATAATAGATAATAGATAATTGAATTATTTGCATTCTGGTGAACTGAACATCAAAGATCATCATATACAAATAATGACTTCTACTAATTATTAATTCATTCAAATAATAAAACTGACTTTATTTAAAGAAATTAAATATTACAATTAAAAAATAAGTGTTTAATCTTTGATATCACATTTATTATGTTATTCAAGTTAAGGTTGAGAACAAATTTTTTCGGTGATAAATTTATAATAAAATAATCAATATATGTCTAATTATTATTGAAGTGAAATTTTAAACTTGAATTGATAAATTTAACTTCTTTGACAAATAAAATTTTTATTAAAATATTAATAATTGATAAAATACTAAAAATTATTGTCTATTTCTTAATATCCGCACGTTTATTCTGACAATTTTGGTCATGCACAATAATGTATTACATTGTAATAGATAGTCAATACTTATCGATTACCCACTACTAAATACCTGACAATTAATTACTCAGTTTCCTTAAGTTAATAAAACAGTTATTATTTTTCAAAAATGTATTTATAATAATAAATTATATATTTTTATTAATTATCATTATGATATTTCTAATTTTATAGTTTAACCATTTTAATGATTGTAACAATACATTCATTATTAACATGATTACTATTATTATTACAAAATATTTACGCTTTATTATTTAATAATTTAATGAGATATATTTAGTTTCGTTGATTTTATCTAATTTTTTATTAACTTACTCTTCAAATGGCAATGATTATCCAAAATCTGTATTTTTTGTTCTAAGAATTGTTTTAATGAATTCCAACTAGGCATTTCTGCATAAGAAGCTACTTCAATTTCCCAAGACTCTTTTAATTTGATTGGTAATTTTGAAGATATAATGTTAACTATTAGGTCATCCCAAAACTGAACTGGACGACCCAATTTGGATAACGTTTTAAGTTGATTATCAGTACAGTCCATTAATGATTTTAATCCAGAAACGGATTCAACGGGAACACAAGGTTGCATTAGCAACGTTTTAACATGCATTTGTGTTGCAATTTTTTTATCATCATATTTCTGATTTAATGATTCCAAAGCTTCTAGATAATTTTGACCTATAGTTAATTGCGAGTCAAGTACTTTAAAAGAAGAACCAGACAAATTTCTTCTTAGGTAATACATTTTAATTGTGTCGTTTAAATTTTTGTTTTTAAGTATATTTTCTAATTGACCTCTGAATGAAGTCCTATTATCCGTATCACTATTGCCGGCTGGTGTATCATAAAGTGGTAACATTATTGTTTGCTGTGATAAATCATTTATTAAAGCCACTTCTTGATTTTGTGAATTAAAATTTAAGTAACGAATATGACTAGTTAAATTCGCTTTTACCGTCATGTATTTTTCGCTTAAATTCTCTAATTCATTTATATATGATGATCTCGTATTGTCATCTATTTCATTTTGTATAGTAACACATTCATGAGCCTCATTATAAAGTTTGAATGCTTGCTCCAATAACTCAAGTTGAACTCGAGCTTCATCAAATGTTAACAAAGTTACATTTAAAGGAGAAAATTTTACAAATTTCTTTTCAATTAATTCGCGTTTATTTTTAATTATTTTTGACAAAATATTATTCATTTTTATTTAATGATGAAAAAACTATCAAGTCACTTAAAAAATTACGAACTATCGTGAATATAAATATAAACAAATATGTATAGGAGAGATTATGTGTAATAAACAAAATACAATGAAAAATTTCGGTTTTACTATTAGAACGGTATTAATTGTGTATTTTGAACATTAGAATTATAACAATCCACTAAAAACTCGAAAAACTCCCGACAATTGTCGTCGCAAAAACTACGATAAGATAGATGATTACCTAAAATACTGAATTTCCAATGTCGATTTAGAGCGTAGAAGCAAACTAGTTATTTAATGAAATTAATTTTGAGTCGGAAATAATATGCTCATCATAATATTATTAATAATTTTATCTTATCTTAATTTTACACTCAAAATTTACTAATAAATATCACTAATTGATACTCGAGTGAATCATCTTTCTAATTTTCAGCAAAGCAATGAATTTGTTTTTTTAATACTTATAAAATATAATGACAATTTATTAGTCTGTATGTTATTTAACATAAAGACTTTATCAAGAGTATTTATTTTATTTGTTAGAATTGTCTATAACAACTCCTAATGTATGTATTTTGCTTTATAACATTCTGAAATATGTGTTCTAAAAATATTCTTAATTTAAAGAAGAAGACATTTTTTTAAATTCTATTTGAATAGTCCTCCTATCTCCAAGAACGTATTTAAAAGATCATCCACGCGATTGAACTTAATGCTGATAACTTTTATCTTATTTATAGTGAGAATAAAAGGAGTATGTGATAAGTGTTTTCACAGATTTATCATTCCAATAGAGATGGGCCAAAATGAAGAAATACTGAAATTTTTTTTCAATGTATCATATAATAACTATCAATTTTTTCAAAAATTATCGATATTTTAATAAATCATTTTCTTTTAAATTAATTGTATTTTATATAATTTATCAAATATTTGATAGGTAGTGTTAGATTCAGCCTCCTCAAACCTTAAACATTTTTAAAATTACTGATTTATTATTGTCTATTATTATTGATAATTGTTGAGACATCAAATTTTCACTAGTAAAGACTACTTAAAGATTATTTTAAATACTAGTTCCAATGTTTTTTATGATGATTAAGAATACAGGAGGTTAACGATTTATCATAAATTAATCGATTTCTTACAAAATAAATACAATAATGGGAAAAAATTTGTTTTATTTTTTTTTAGTTACGTTTATCTCTTGATTTATTAGCTAAAATTACTTTTTAGCTATAGATTATCACTTATAGGGGTGTCAACTTTATTTTTTCAAATGACAACATAGATAATTTACTAGCTTATTTAATACATAACGATGTAATTAAGTAAATTTCTGATCGATAACAATTTTTACCAATACTTCAAAAGTTATTCTCATTTTTATACCTGGACGAGACGAAGAGTATGGTCGGGAAATAACTAGTGGTAATAATAGAAGCACCCCATACTCATCAACACCAATTATTACTTTAAATTATTTATAACTTCTGAAATACTGATCTAAAAGTTTTTAGATAGTTTTTGACAAGTCATTTTCTTAATTAGATTATATCCTATTTTATAATCTAGTTAAAGATTTATGTTATCATTTTAAAAAATTAAGTTATGAGAGATGATTTTTAAAAGTAATTATTAGCTGAAAATCAAAAAGCAACAATTTTTTTTCTCAAATTGTATTTATTGAGAATAATTGGTGGTTATGATACAATAATCACTTATATAGTGCTATTGTTTAATTTTCTACATAATTATACAAGTAGTTAATATATTATATCCAAGAAATTTTCAATACAAATAAAGCTTTAAATATTAAAATTTATTTAAATAAATAACAATATCAATATATTCATATAACAAATGATTCAATTTTGGATTTCATCTAAAGATACAAACTTATTTTTATTTAAGATTTTAAGAAAAATATGGCCATGTTCGCCTTTAGTAAGATCTGCAACAATTTTTATTACAATATTCTCTTTAATAACACCTTTTTCGTGAGCTGCTGCTAGTTGAGAAACTACCGATCGTTCTACTTCATGTTTAATAGATCTTGCTCCATAACTTATATCATAACTGTTTATCAATACATGTTCTACTGCACTATCCCATTCAATAATAACTCTATGTTTTCTTTTTGCCTTAAACAATTATGATATAATACACCAATTAACAACACTGTTAATCATGATTTTATTTGATATTATAAAATAGGAATACTTTGCATCTTAAATATAACATTACACCTAAAAGGAAACGCATAAGTACCTAAGTTATATAGCATTAAGATAAAAATATTTAAGTATATTCTTACTTAAAGACAATATAATGTAATTTGATACCGAAATACTTTTCTCTCAAAATATTATTATTATTATACCAAACACTTTAATGTAATAATATATTTAAGATGAAAAGTATGCTGATTTTATAGTAGTAAAATATTTACCATATCTTGCCAATGTTTTAATTCTTTTTGGACGATCATCTTTAATTCTCGTTCAGAAAAGGGTAAAAAATAAACTATTTCATTAATGCGACCCAAAAACTCATCTCGCTTAAAATGCTTTTTTAAAATTGGTTTGACTACCTTATCTTTAAAGTTTCTTGATATATACATTTCATTTGAAGGCTCATTTTTAATTTCTTTGTTAATTATTCCTAGAAGTTAAAATTTCCATAAATTTTATGATAGAGTTGTAAAAATATCAATGTGAATTATACTCACGGTTATTTTCTCTTAGTTCATTTTCTTGTTGCTCCTTTCGTAACTCAACAGCATGTTCTGCAATTTGACTGCTGGCTAAATTTGAAGTCATTACAAAAATTGCATTTTTACATTCAATAGTTTTACCTTGACCATCAGTTAGTCTTCCCTGTTATGAAATAAAAAACCATTAATTTTTTGATACACATCCCTAAAGAGAACTATGGTGACTGAATCCACAATAAGAAAAGAAATAGGTAAATTGTTGTGAACAAAGGAAGTAATGGAAACTTCTTTCCTAACTCTTTGAACAATCTGTATATTTAGTTATAACAATAAGATATATAAAAATTCTATTTATAAAGTATAAGAAAAATTTGTAATAGTACATTTTCAAAACTTTGCAAGTAATTATTTTGGTAGTATATTGAACTATAAACATAAATATGAAATAACCAATGCGTACTTCATCAAACAATTGTAGCAATACTGTTAACACATCAGTATGTGCCTTTTCAACTTCATCAAACAATACTACAGCATTTGGATTCTTTGTCAGTTGTTTTGTTAAAAATCCACCATCATCATAACCAACATAGCCAGGTGGTGAACCAATCATTTTAGCAACCTATATATAACAATTTAAGTAGTTTAGTAGTAGCAGTTTAGTACCGTTATTAAGAGTAGTAGAAAAATATTAAAAATTTATTAAATAATTATTTCTTCAAATAAAACATGAAAAATGAATAAGTGTACTAATAGAAATAGTAAGGTATTATCAAAAAAATGATAAAATTTCCCCTACTCTGTTTTTAAATTACAATACTTCAACATTTAAGTAAATTAAAATTAATGTAATTTAATTAATAGCAAAATTATTAAAACTGTAATTAAATTTCGACAGAAATCCCACTAATCTACTGTTTATAGAAAGATGAGGACTACTATAAGTGTATCCGATTTGTAAAATTTGTTTTTAATCTTTATTCTGGGTCATCATTTCTTTTTATAATATGATAGAAGTATTTTTTGAAGTGAGTATACTGCGACAATTATTGTGCCTCTGGAACGTTGCCTCTCAGTTCAGCCCAGCACTACATTGTAAAACAATTTTATCAAAATTCCAGGTAATCTAATAAAAATTCCTTGACATTCCACAAATTACTCAACTAAAGAAAAAAATACTTTGATTTTTACTAGTTTAGTTTTTATTGAGGTGGACATAATGCCCATTCACTCAGACCTGTTGGTCCATTGTGCACACCTTATACCAAATTGTCTTGAACACTTAAGTGTTATTACATTATACTTATTATTGTATAAGGGTGGACCATCAAGTTACCCCTATAAATATCCAAAGAGTCCTGTCTTTGCGGCGAAATTAAGTATCTCTCTGGGTCTTAGGTTTTTTATATCTTCTTTTTCAGGAGAAGGTTTACTTAAGTAGTTTGATCTAAGTGTGGACAAGGCTTCACATTCGCACATAATGTGAAATGAGTAAATTAAGTACTATATTATTTTATTCCATATATTATTGATTATATGTTAATAAATGTTAAAACAAATGATTACCTCATGTTTTTGTTGATATTCAGACATATCAAGTCGAATAAAACCATCACTACTATTTTTGTGCATATAGTGAGCTATTTGTTTAGCTAATTCAGTTTTACCAATTCCAGATGATCCAAGAAATAAAAATACTAATGGATGCTCATCATCAATCCATCCATTTTCCTTGCGACGTATAGCTATATTTTGAAGGAATATATTTCATAAAGTATGAATTTATTCTAGGTCCGAGTTTTTTTACCTGACGCAACTGATTTGATTGCGTTATCTTGACCAACAATTTTTTCTTTCAATCTCATTTCTAAAGGAAAGCGTTTCCGCTCTTCAATTTCACGTTTTCTTTTAATATTTTCATACTAAAAATATGTTTATTATTAATAAATTTATTTATTCCTATATAATGTGTTTAAAAATTTTACATTTTTTTCATATTCTAGTAGGAGATTATAAACGCGAACATCTGTTGTTAAATTTATTGGTTTATGACCAGTAACAGATTTTATGTAAGGATCTGCTCCAAACTCTATAAGTAGTATTAGAGATTCTATATGATTCATTAATGCTGCATAATGAAGAGCTGTAAAACCTTGTACAGTAGCATTGTGATTGAAAGATGATGTGAAACAATTTTCTCTTATAAATTTGACTGAAAGCATATAAATATAAAAATTTAATTTTAAATTATACAATTAAGATAAATAAGTAATAGAATATTATTCAAAAAATGACAATCTCAATGTTTTTAAAAAAATCAATGAAACAAAAGTCCACTTCTTTTTTAAATCAAAATAAGTTAAATGTAATTACAAATGTAAAAAACTCCAAAGAAATAAAATAAGAATCTAATTGATTGATAAGTTAATACAATTATCTATTAGAGCTGATCTACTATAGGTATATTAAAGAAATATAATTATATAAAAATTACCATTAGAAATATTATCATTAAACTTTTGGGCTACATGATAAATGTTAGAAAATCCATCAGTTATATTTGGATCTGCTCCATTTTTTAGTAATGTTTCTAATAGTTTGACCTTATTTTGCACAGCAACTACATGTAAAGGAACCCACCCATACATGTGACGTTTGTTAACATCTTTGGGATTTTCTTTCAAGTATCTGAAATTTAATAAATTATTAATCTTAATTAGAGCTAAAATATAATGTGTTAAAAACAAATACCCTTCAAATTCCTCAACAAATCCTTCATTTATCAATTGATATATATCTATAAAATTATAACAAAAAACATTTTATTTATATACTTCAAAATGGTAAACATAATATTAAAATATACCAGGATCAAATGAATATACAGAACTTATATTATAACTTAAACAGAATTTACAAAAATCAAATAATAATTTAATCAAAAATAATTATAATAGTACCAATTTTGTATTTTAATAAGATATATGTACAGATACTATAACAACATATAATACATACAAACAAGAGTATCAATAATCAAAATGCTAAAAAAATATAAGTCATTATGACACTGTTGACCCTAGGTAACAAATTTTATTTTATTTAAATATAATTAATGAATTAAAATGCAATAATAAAATAAAATATTTTAATATTTAATGTTAGTATATATAAAAATTAAGATTTATAAAACAAAGGATCTAAGAGCATGTTACTGTCACTTGGATCTACTAGTAATCTAGATAGTCTTGGCATATAACTATCAACTATTAATTTTAAGTGCTGCATATAATGCTTTATGATGTGTAATATTAAAACACCTCAAATTACTTATTTTAAAATAAAGTTAATAAATACCTTTTTGCTTGTACCCAGCATACACTATACTAGCAGCTAGCAACCACTTGCAGATATTTTTTTTGCTTTTTGTAGAACGATTTAAATTGATGAATCTATCACACCAATATTTTTGTACGAATTTCACGTGATTAGTTGAACATTTACTTTTAATATTTTGAAAAGAGGCATGACTAGAAAATAATGTTTTCCAAAAATTGTTTAATATTATATTTTTTCTTAATTTTACTAATTGGGAATTCATCACTCTTAGTACATAAATAATACGTTTTGTTCGTTGCGATATATTATTTTAATTTCCAAAATAAATGTATATAATAATAGCTTATAATAATATTATAAAAAATTAAAGACTTCTTAAAATATTCTGTAACAATATTTTTTTTTTTAAACATTGAAATTTTTGATAACAAATATAAAAATTGAGAAGCCAAGTTGACACTATTATCATAAATTAGAGAATCTGTTATCAATAATAATTTGTTAGAATGATAACAATAAACATTTTGGCCGCACTCTTGAAAATTACATAAAATAATGTTTTAAGAACATATGTGCTATGTAGAATGAAGTAGCGATCTAATTATAAGTATACTTGTCTATGTAAGAAAGATGCTCTACATAGACATTTGTGTAGAGTAAACAACCTCAGTCACAGTTCTTCTGTGACTACTATGTCAGTGTTAATAATAAAATCTATCATTTTAAAAAATAACTTGAATTTATATAAAGTAAGAAATTGAGAAATCTTGGATGTTTTATGAGTTGCTTAGTGATAATTATAAATTATATTAGTCTTTACTTCATGGCAGAGAACTTAGGTTGTTATTTTAATTAGATAATTTTATTAAAATATTTATAATGACTAACAAAATACTTAATAGTCAAAAACTCTTTGTTTTAAGAAAAAGATTTAATAATTGCTATCTTAAATTTATTATTCCTAATTGTAGTAACTCACATTTAATATCAAATGGTGTAGTTCTAGTGGACAAAAATAATCAATCAATACATGATGAACTTAATTTTGAATATTTTTTTATTTAGGTAATGAATTTAAATTAAATCTCGATAACTTAATCAGTGATAACAAGAATGGAAGGAAGACTATTATGCATCATTCAATGGAACTTAAAGGAATAGATATGTTCAATTTTAAAATTTGTCTATGTATTTATTGAATGATTTGTATTAATATGTAACATAAGATAATATTTTGCTTTTTAATGCTTTACTTTAATTAAAATAATTATTCAAATTTTTTAAAAACAATTGATGTATTTTGATCTTTTTTTTTAAAGGCAATTGCTCAAAGTTTAATATATATTAATAATTTTATTATTACACTCACAATTGAAATTAAAATAAAAAAAGTACATCTGATTTAATAAAAATCAATATTTTAATGTAATCACATAACAGAGTTTACTAATTTTAGCAGTAAAATTAATTACTTTATTAATTCTAATACATTTTTTCAATGTATTTTGATTTTTAATAAGTACTTTAATCATGCCCTAATTTTTGTAACTTTTGAGTCCCTTACAATTTTAAAATATTACGCTCTTAAAATACTATTATTGAATAATAATAAGAAAAAAACTATTAACTAATGATAAAATTTCAATTCCTTTTTAAATTATACTGCTAAAGGACACCTATTATGAGTTGTTCTAGTACAAATGTCCTTCCTTAAATATAATACTGCCTAAAAACTTTTAAATAAAATTTTTTTTTATAATATTGTAAAACATTTTTCTGTTTTAGTATTTTCCAAAAAAGTATTAGTACTTTTAATCCTTCAACTTCTGTCATACAATTTCATGGGTTTTTTCTGTTTATTTACTCCTAAAATAAGATTTTTCATTTATAATTTGTAAGTTATGCATAGAATAATAAATAAATGAATTTTATTATTATTCTTTATTTCAGTGAATATATGATATCAATAACATTAGTTGTTAATGTAATAGTACTTATATTTCTACACATGAAACGCAAACATTTTCCTGCAAATCTTGTGTTATTAATCATTTTTGTAAGTAATTATTGATTTTAATTTTTTAAATTTTATTGTACATGAAATTTTACTTTATAGACAGTTGTTGAAGCCTGTAGTGTTGGTATTATTATAACATCATTTGATTTATTTTCACTATTGCAAACATTATTACTCACTTTATTTGTAATGACAGTAACTACGATATATATTATTAAGAGTAACTGTGTTTGTTTATCATTGACTGAATGTTGGTAAGTGTTAAATTTAAAAAGACAGTTAACATTTATAAAAATAGTTAATTTTAAAATAATTTATACATTTATATTTGTTTAAATAATAAAAATATAACAATAATAATTTGTTTGGCATAAAATGTTAAAAAATGACTTCATTTTTCTGATAAATGAACTACTATTTGCTTGTAGTAATTCGTAATATCTGGTATACTTAATTTTTATTTTTTAGTGTGTTAATGATTTCTACAATAATCACTGTGGGTATTTTAATTCAAATATTGCTTGGCAGTACAACATATGAGTTCATATTTTCAAGTATAGCTGCATATGTTATTTCAATTTTTTTAATATATGATATTCAGGTAAAAATTATCCTTAAAATTATATAGGTATTATATTTTTACATATTTATTCTTGGAATATTTTAGAGACTCACGTGGAAGTTACATTCAGATGACTTTATTTTTGGTACAATTTGTTTATATTTTGATATAATTAATTTTATACCCAATATATTACATAAGATTTATATGAATGTTAAACTTAGAAGCCTCGTATATTAATTTTAAAATAATAGTTACATATACTTTATTTATTTAATTTGATAATAACTAATTCAAAAATCTACAAATGATATACCTTTGATTATATATCAATTTTTATAATTTTAAATTGGTTAACCAAATATAATTTATTGATTTTAGTGATTTGCATATTGTTATACTAGAATGGTTATTGATTTTAACAATATAAACATTAATACCTTACTCAAAATTTTATTTATTTTTAATATAAAACTATGTACAAAATTATTACAATCAGTTGTAACTTAACAGTACAGCATTATAACAAATTTAAAGATCAACTATGTGTTTAATATTATTCATAAATTTTTATTACTACTTTTCTTTGCATCAAGGTATGCTTGAAGCTGACCTGTGCTTTCTAAATAATTCATTACTACTTTTTCTTGTGTCTCTGGAGTAGTAGGTGAATATCTTACATAATCCATACTAAATTCACCTTTACCTTGAGTTAATGAACGCAGTTCTCCAGCATAACCAAACATACTATTTAATGGTACTTCAGCATATATTGTCACCCAATCTGCTGTTCCTTCACTTCCACTTATAATACCACTACGTTTATTGAATTGGCCCATAACTGGACCTTGGAATTCTGTAGGGACAACAACTTCAACTTCCATTATAGGCTCTAATATTTGCCAAGCAGCTTCTTCATATGCTTGTTTGATTGCGCCCTGAGTAGCTAATATAAAAGCTAATTCACTAGAATCAACTATATGATGAGCCCCATCTAACAACCTCATACGCACACCAGATATTCTGTGTCCAGAATATAAACCCTTTTCAGCCATCATCTTAAAACCCTTAATAATTCCTGGAATAAATTGTTTTGGAACATTAGGGCCAGATGTTTCATCCACAAAATCCAAATTTGTATTTTCATTTGGAGGCAAAGGTTCTAAAATACCAATAACTCTAGCATATTGACCTTGTCCACCATGCTGTTTTTTATGAAAATAATCAAACTCAAAAGGAGATACTAATGTTTCTCTAAATGCAACTTTAGGTTTACCTAAATTGACTGGACAATTGTATTCCTTTTGCATTCTTTGAGCATAAATTTCTAAATGTAATTCACCCATACCTGAAACAATTGATTCTTTGTTATCGCTATCATATTGGAATCTAAAAGTAGGGTCTTCTTTTGTAAAGCGCGCAATTGCTTTACTGAAGTTATCTCTATCTTTAGTGTTAACTGGATTAATAGACATAGAGACAACTGGATCTGGAACAAAGATTGACTCCAAAGAAATATTTAACCTTCTATCTAAAATAAATGTGTCACCACTTGCGCAATCTACACCAAATAGTGCAAATATATCGCCTGCATATATTTCATCAACATCTTCCATTTGATCAGCGTGTAAACGAACTAATCTAGATAAACGAACTTTTTTTGAAGTTCTAAAATTGTAAATAGTATCTCCTTTGGATAATTTTCCTTGATAACATCGCATGTATGTTAATTGACCAAATCTACCAGCTTCTAATTTAAATGCTAAGGCAATAAATGGATGACTTCCATTTCTACTCGAATTTAGCAGAACTTTCTCAGTTTTTCCATTATCAGTTTCTTTAAGAGCATAATTTTCTACTTCGCCTGGATTTGGCAGGTATGACAAAACAGCATCTAATAGAGGTTGTACACCTTTATTTTTCAAAGCAGTTCCAAGAAGAACTGGGGTAAATTGTTTTTTTATACAAGTTCTCCTAATAGCTTCTTTTATTTCCTTTTCTGAAGGAGTTTTCTCTTCAAGAAACATCTCTCCTAGTATTTCATCAACATTTGAGACATGCTCAATTAATTCCATTCGCTTTTCTTCAACTTGATTTTTCATATCTTCTGGAATCTCACCATATTCAATAATATCACCAAAATCACCATTAAAGTAGATTGCTTTTCTATGAATTAAGTCCACTATACCTTTAACATTGCTTTCTTTTCCAATAGGTAATTGCAAAAAAGCAGCATTATGTCCTAATTTTGATCTCATGTTATCTAAAACTTTAAAAGGGTTAGCACCAAGTCTATCTAATTTATTTATAAAGGCTAAACATGGAACATTGTAACGTTTCATTTGTCGATTAACAGTTAATGTTTGACTTTGTACTCCACCAACAGCACACAAGACTAAAACAGCTCCATCTAAAACTCTCAGAGCTCTTTCTACTTCAACAGTGAAATCTACATGACCTGGTGTATCAATAATATTAATATTGTGATCTTTCCATATTGTATACGTTGCTGCTGACTGTATCGTGATGCCTCTTTGTCTTTCCAACTCCATAGAATCCATTGTTGCTCCAACATTATCTTTTCCTTTAACTTCGTGCATTTTTGATATTTTGCCTGTGTAGTATAAAATTCTCTCAGTTAAAGTAGTCTTACCAGAATCAATATGAGCTGAAATTCCAATATTTCGGATATATTCTAAAGGTTTTATATCATTTTTAGAAACACTGCACATGCATCTTAACCAAACATCAGCCTTTTTCAATAATACCTTTCTACCAAAAGTTAAACCAAAATACATTTTTACTTAATAACTATTAAATAATTATATATATATATAATTTTAAAATTTAATTAACTCAACATTTGAAAAAAAAAATATTTAAATGAATATTTATCATCATGAAGGCCGGTCAGGTATGTTTTTGATAAGATTATTGATAATACAATAATTTGAGGTTATATATATATAGCATTATTTTATATCATTTTATAACAAATTGTTCATCGATATTTTGAAATTAGTTTTTATATAAAAGACTATAAATGTTCCCTCACCCTTCTTCTAAATCTTACACAAATTTATTATATTAAATAAATATTAATTTACCTCAATTTAAAAATGTCGAGTTGCATTATATTTATAACATTCTTTTATTAATTTTTGAAACATTATTAAAACAATATTAGTTGAGTTAAAACTACTAAAATACATAAAATTAATGTTTATTTGATTTTGTAATTTTAATTTCAGCTTCCTTTCGCTTTTTTAAGAATTCTATAAAAATTATCAATTTGTAAATTAAGTATAATTTATTAAAAAGTACTTATTACTTGTAAAATGTTTAATTATTTAATTTTTTTTTTGTTTTATTGGCTGATTGTTTTGAGAAACTATCTAAAAGTGTGTAGTTCATAGGCGCAATTAAAACAAATTTTTTTGGGATACTAAATAAATTTTTCCTCCATCCTAATTTATTTTAGGTGGAAAAGTATGTTGTATTTAACATAATATTTCATTGGTATGTCAAGAGTTTAATACTGTTAATTACAAAATGGATCTAAATTTTTTATATTTATCGCTGTCCAAGGAAAAGGTTTTTTTTTTTGTTTTTAATAAATCAGAAAATATCTAGAAAGTAATTATTACTAAGAAATTTTTGAAAAATTAATAAGTACTATGTTATGAAAATTTATCATTCAATATACTAGTTAATAAATTTTAGCTATATTTTAACTATAGATAAAACTAGAATTTCAAATTTAAATTATTTTACTGTAAGAAACTGATAACAATAAAATATTATTAGCCTTATGTTTAATTTCTTCAGAATAAAAAGGTCCTATAATTAAATGCAAAAATAGGAATGTTTGTATTAAAATAATAAAATATATTATTTACCTAAACATTTTTATAATTATAAAAAGTTTATGTAATCAGAATCATTAGGAAAGTTTGGAATACTTAGTCTCCAAAGCTCTCTAAAAATTCAGAAAATTATATATATTAGGATATAAAAATATATTTTTAAATAAGGGAATTTTATAATCAGTCTCCAACATTTTTTTCAAACTCAAAATTAAAGATTTTACACGGGGTCGTCATTTGGGGACTGGCAAAGTGTCTGAACCTGACTTTTTAGTAGTCCGCGAAAATAAAGCACAGCACCATCATAATATTTGGGGTACCGGTAGTCTCTTCGTAAATATATTTTATTGATAATATTTTTTACCTTTTTTAAATTTATTTATTTAATTTTTGAATATATCCTATATATTTCTCAATATTTTAAGTAGTTCAATTTCCATTCAAGCTAAATTCTCGATATTTTTATGAATGCCTTTGCAATAACATTCATTAATTAAATAAGCTTATTAGATAAGCATGTTTCAATTTAAATGTATAATAATTGGTAAATTAAAAAAAAAAAATCATTTTTATGATAACTTTTATTTTGTAACTAATAGAGTAGGGTTTGATAAATGAACCACCTCATACATTGTTTGAAAAATGAAAATTTTAAATATAAATATATAATAATAGGGTTTGTTAACGATAGCGATATTTTGATTCGATATCGACATCTACGACTTTTTTCATTTTTCCCACGACATCGATTATTTTTTAATTATCTATTATTAACTCGGAAAAAAATTTTTATAAAAAAAACTTGGAATTTTAATCACTTTGTTATAAAATATATATTATTTGATATTAGACCAAAAACAATTTGTGATAATTTTGTACACATATTTTGTATTTAAATATATTATGAAATATAAAATTGAGATAAAACAAAAAATGATATTAATACAAAATTTTTTCATGTATATTATATAATTTAATTGACATAGAATATACAATTTGAATTAGCTTAAATTGCTAATATAATGTATGTTATTATGCTTAAAAAGGCACAATAATATACATTATATATTTTTTTAATATATAATAATTATTCAGTTTACAAATAAATTTGAAATAATTGTGTGATAAATGCTTTTGTATCCATTGAAACAGTGAAAACTATTACAATTTTTGTTAAATACCAGTTTGTTTAAACAGAATGTTGTCAAATCTTTCAGTCGAATTGCATTCGATGGTTCTTATATTTTCTTTTAAATTTCCAGTGTTTTGAGTAAATACTTACACAATTAAATTCTATTTAGCTGAGAAATGATTATCATAATTCTTAATTAATTTAAACGGTACGCTACTATTACGAAGTGAATCAAAGCATTCCATTAGTAAGTGACACATCGTAAAGATATTTTATTTTTGGCGATTCATTTCTTTAAGTCGAAGAAAGTTTTTTTGTAGGTTTAAACAATTTACAATTATTAATTAAATTTTCATTTGTTTATAGTGGCAAAAAATTATAAAAAATCTGTTGTTAAACGTTTAAACATTTTAGAAACAAGACATAAAAAGTACACTAATATCCCTGCTAACCGGGACACAACGGTGTCACTGGAAATGAGAATGCTGACTTTCTAGCCAGGAAAGTAGCAGAGAACACCTATGTTGGACCAGAACCAGTGGTAGGGCTCACTGAGCAATCGCTCAAAGCGTTACCCAAGAATTGGTGCAGAGAACAACACAGGAAAATCTGGAAGTACTTGGTAGTACCTAGACAATCTAAAATGTTTATCAAGACCCCTGGTTTATTGCTGGGTGATCTTAATAGCATGACTAGACATCAAATAAGCACCCTGACTGGTCTACTGACAGGACATGGTCACCTGCTTAAGCATCTTAACGCAATGGGGGTATCGGAATCACCATTGTGCAGGAAGTGTGGAGTAGAAGAGGAAGACTCATTTCACATCATGTGCGAATGTGAAGCCTTGTCCACACTAAGATCAAACTACTTGAATAAACCATTTCCTGAAAAAGAGGATATTAAAAACCTAAAACCCAGAGAGATACTTAATTTCGCCAGAAAGACAGGAATCTTTGGTCATCTTTAGAGGTGACTTTATGGTTGGTAATGTATTAACACTTTGGTGATAACACTTAGGTGGTTAAACCGAATCAAGACAATTCGGTATGAGGTGCGCACAATGGACCAACAGGTCTGAGTGCACGGGCATTATGTCCACCTCAATAATAACTAAAACTAAAACTAAATATCCCTGCTAAGATCATGAAAAAGAATCGCGTTAACCTTTCATTAGGTAGGTGAAAAAATGTTATGTTAATAGATATCATGGGTCTGATAGACTCATATAATTAAATCGATTTTATTCTTGTATGGTAAAACTTTATTTCTTCAAATGTGAATAACAATTACATAGACATACTTAGAAATATATTTTAACAATTACGAAACAAAAAAAGAAAATATTTAGGTCTGATAGACTCGACCTACCTAATGAAGGATTAAAAGTATTCATAAGAATTTGAACCGAGAAAATAATTTGGGAAATATAAATCTATCAAAAAACCCATAAGAAAATCTTGCACCAAATGAAATTAATGAAGTCGAAGAAGCTTTCTTAAGGCTATAAGAAAAAGAATGGCCGAGGAATCAAGACGTCAAGAGCAATTTTATTATTAGATTTCTTAAAATGAGTAAACAAAATTATTTATAAAATTAAAAAACACTGAATAGTTACTTCACAAGTAATAAAACTTTAGTGTATGAAATTCAAAACTATTTAATTCTCATTAAAATTTAAACAACCTATGATTATATTAAAGATATTTACCGTATTAATGTATCTTCTAACATAAATTTATGGGTTGAGGCTTAAAAAAGAAATTAAGTTAAATGGCTAAAGAAACAGAACATTATTTCAATACATAAGAATTATTTTATCAATATTTTGCTTCGAATAAATACAATAACCATTTTTATGTATAGAATTTAGTGATAATGTTTAAAAAAACTAAGGTCAGGAATCTTAAAATATTTTTTTGGCAATTAAAAATTAAATCAAACAATAATATATATTTTTGAAAGGTTATAACATAGCTGTGTTTATTTTAAAGCAATCGTAAAGTGCGTCTCAATTCCGCCTCGTTAAAAACTATACCAGGTTAAAATAAACTCTCTTGTTAATTACTACAGTATTATTATTCAATATATATTTATAATTTTTAATTTTTTTTATTAAATTAAATTTATTAAAATTTATTAAATTTGAGCATAATCACAATTTATCAAAAAATATTACATAGCATTATATTAAATTAAGTATTTTACTAATTTTAAATACATTTTATTTTTTAAAACTATATTCTTATGAGATAATGACCAATTCATATGTTTTATTATGCATCACTTATCACCTAATAAAATTAACACCTAATTTTCAACTAAAATTTGATTAAAACTCGCTACTATCTGTGATATCTAAACTTTTTTCTAACTTTCAATATCCGTAAAAATCAGCAAATAGATGTTGATACTGAGTTACAAGTTCAAGTTCTAAGTATACAAAAAATAAAATATTATCTATACGATACTTTAATGATACTCCTCAAGGCAAACAAATAGTGTATTACTATACTCTCAAGTCGTATACAGAGTAATTTTTTTATCATAACCTGCTCAATTGCTGTCACAGTCATGGATTGTTTATTATCAATTATGACTATAGATCGATATACTTTCTATATTGTCAGTTAGTGTATTTATGAACTCACAACAATATGCCTCACTACCATTGATAATAACAATGCTGTGTACCTGCTAATATCGATGTCATAAAAAACTAATCAGCTACCTGTTTTTGTAATTCCTTGTGTATTATACATGTATATTAACTTAAAAATTTGAAACTTTAAATGTTTATATCTAATAAACAAATAAAGCTATACTAAAAATTCAAATGCCATTTACTATTAAATTAAAAACTCAAACATTTTATTAAATTCAAAATATGTGTTCTCTGTTTTTTAAACAAAGTGGACACCCTTACCAGGCATAAGGGTTGAACTTAAAAAGTATTACATAGTTAATAATTCAAGAATAATGTGTAACTAAAGATAACCAAAAAAAAAAAGTTGAAATTATTATTCTGTAAGTAATTAGGTGGGTTATGATAAAAAAATCATCCTTTATACCAAGTTTTGCAAATTACATAGATCTTACTCTAGATGGTGAAGATGAAACTCATGATGGATCTTATATTAATACTAAAAAGTCGCTGGAAAATATTCAAATGAATTTGACTCCTAGTTACTCCTAGTAAGTTTATGATGGTCAATATGAATCCTTTTCTGTAACTGATTAAAAGAAAGACATGGAGAATCGGACTGTTATAACACAAGTTCCATGATAGAAAATCTAAATGCTACCCCTGATATATAGATTTCTATAAAGATGACATAGAAATTTCGCAAACAAAACTTTCGTAATAATTATTTAATATTTTTTTTTAATGCTTAAGTTTTTATGATTTTTATCTATATATTTTCAAACAAGTGTAATAAACTTCTTTTGTTTTATTAATTTCTGTATTTTTAACAAAAGTATTTCTCTAATTTTTAAAGAAACTATATACTTGGACAGGATACTTTCCGCACTATCCTAAAAAAACTTGTTATAATATTTAACCAACCTATACTATTACTAATTAATCATTAACATACAATAAAGATAGTCTTAAATAATAAGTATAATATATAAATTAGTTTTTGAGAAATTAAAGCAGGTATTAAATTTCATAATTTTAAATATTTGTAGATTTTGACTTTTTTATAAATAAACCAAAAAATTGATTTTTTTTGTATAAATACCTAAGACGTATATCTTTCATATAGTACAGGTTTTATAAAAATTTAACTCTATAACTGCCCATAAAGGTGATTAAAAGTAGCAACTTTTGCAACATAACTTTTAATAATGTTCGGAAAATACTGTGACCTTTAAACATATATTAAATTTAATCTTATATTACACATTATGTGTAAACAATTTTTTTTTGTCCTGATGACTTATCTTTAATGTGAAAATAGCTTCCATAGTTAAAAACATCTTTATGTTAAAATTTTGTTTTAAAATACCTTTTAAGGGATTGCTATAGTAATAATGCCTTCAATTTTTAGTCAAGTTCCATGAATCTAAATTACATTGAATGTACATTTAAACTTATTTTCAACGAAACGTCAAATGATTATAAATAGTATCTAATTAATGATATTACCTTCAAAAATTAGAAAAAGATTTTCCCTTTATCAAATAAAAATTTCTTAACCAAATAAATTTCTCCATATAGACAATTAAATTCATTCATTTATAATGTTTTTAAAGTATATATTGTCGAATTAGATTTGATAAAGTCCCCACACTCATCCATCTAAACATTCTCATCTTTGCTACATTCATTCTCTGCTCTACTTTCTTGTCAACCGCCCAACACTCTGAAACATACATCATAGCTGGTCTCACTAGAGTCTTATAGAATTTACCTTACAGCCTCATTGGAATTCTTTTATAATTTATAATTTAAATCACCAAAATTTATGTAGCCGCCCCACAGCAAAATCTTAAATACAACCATGATTATTTTGCTCATACACACGGATTTCTAATTAAAACATTATTAAGCGATCTCCTGTGACAGGGCTTATTTTAACGGATAGTAGAACCCAAATTGATAGTTGAAAACATAATTTGGGTAGTTGAAAATTCAAAATTGGGTAGTAGATTTTTTTCACCTGTAAAAAATTAGGTAAATTCTAATAATAAAATATTGAAGCCATAAATTTATATAAATAAAAATTGAAAGTTATCAAATTAAAAACGTATTTTAACTTAAAAGTTTAAGCACATAATTTAATTTTTAACAAATCGTAATGTATTTTTATTTTATATTAGAAAAAAGACTGGCAACGGTATGATCGCATTGGGAACATATAAGTTTTCTATAGACCTATACGACGTAAGACGACTTCGTGTGGCCGATGCACATTGTGGCATTGCGTAGTAGCCGATATAGTAGCGTTATGTACGATATCGGTAATGTCGTAGTGCCGTCGTTAAAACCCATTTAAAAATAAATAAGACGCACAGTATCGCAAGACACAGTCGTATTGAAACCAAACACTAATTTTATCTGTTTATTTTATCTAATTCGTTATCAACATTTCTTTATATTGTAGTTTAAGAAATACTGCACTATAGAATATGCGCATGTTGACTACTGCATGATTTTGCTCAGGACATATAGGTCTATAGGCTAGCACTACAGTAAATAAATTCACGTGAATAACTGTATTATATACTTATATTAATAAATGTGAAAAATAATACAAAAAAAGACAGTACTTATCTTATAGTGAAAAGTGAAAAAGTGTAAAAATGAAACGGGCTTCATCTCTTCAAAAAGATGTAAAAAAATCTTGCAAAACAACTTCTTTGTATAGTTGGCTGAATCTAAATAAAGCAAGTTGTTCGATCCAGTCAAATTTAGCCACACAAAACTCAGCATCTCCTGAGGAATCTCAACTGGTTATCGGAACCAATTAAAGAAAAAGAAATAATCGAAGAAATTTCGGAAAATGAAAACTCAAATGAAACCCTCACACAAGAAATTCCAATTTCTAAACCTGAAGCAAATAAACAAAACTCCAATGTTTAGGCATTTGAGCATTATCACCGAGATGGTAAGCACTACGTAAAATGTAAATACTGCAACATGTTTCCAAACTTAGTAAAGCTTCATGGAACAATGACTCGATTGCTTGCGATAGTAACAGATGGTACTAGATTTAGAAACGATACGATAGAAAAACATATTTCTCAGAAATATCATTCGGAGTCTGTGAAAACTTTTAGATTATCTACTTTAAAAGTACCAGAAAAAGCAAAAGAATGTACTATGGATAACATACTCACACAAATGAACGAAGACCTAGCAAATAAAATTGGCGGATTAATGATACATACATATACTGACGCAAAAACAATTACTCTCAGTGCTTACTCATTTCCATCAAGAGTTGTTACTTCCATAGCTGCTCAATTGTTTCAAGATAAAAATGTGAGTGTTCTGTGTGTTCCTCTAGACGTAAATTTTCAATATTTGACCCCAACCGCACATAAAGAATTTATTCAGTGTATTACTAAAAGTGATCATAGTGTGCAAAATATACTGAGCTCTAACATTTTATCGCTTTCTTTGGAATGTGATGGCAGTGTGGACCGCATGCAAATAGACAAGATATGTGTTTTTGCAAAAGTCATAAAAAAATCTGGTGAATCAGTTCAATATTTCCTTGGGATAAGTGAACCAACTTGTCAAAGTGCTGCGGTAATACTTGGTGCAATAGAGAACGCCATCGATACTACTGTTGGAGAAGGAATGTCTAGACAACTTTTTGAATTTGCCACCTCTTTGGTAACAGATTGAGCAGCAGTGAACACTGGTTGTAGAGCAGGGTTGTGGGAGCTCTTTAAGAAAAAGTACAAGATTAACTCAAATCTTCCTTTCATTACCATATGGTGTGCAGCACACAGATCGGATTTGGCTTTCAAATCGATTAGTAATTGTATTGTAGAGTTGAAATATATTTTTTCAGAGTAAGTTGGTTTAAGCTTCATTCTACACTCTTCCAACTTAAGAACCAAGCATCACCAACAGATGGCCGAAAAAAATAAATGATCTCTCTCGCGGTTGCCTCGTTTATTTGAAGTGCGGTGGTCCGAATTTTCGTTTGATTTAATCAATTCAGTTTTGGTTTCTTGGAATGCTTTAGTATTGTTCTCGAAAGATTGTTCTGACAAAGAGGCAAGAGGATACAGACTTTTTTTAATCAATTATAACAATCTACAAATCCTGACATTTATTGCAGACGTATTGATGGTTTTCAGCAGATATTAGAAAAAACTGCAATCTGATACAATTACAATTTTAGACATGGACAAAGAGACAGTGAACGTTATATCCAGGCTTAAAATATTAAAAATGGAAACGTTACTTGGTGGATGGGTGACAACCTTAAAAGAACAGTTAGAAATTCAAAGTGAAAATGAGGTTTTACTAAAAGGAGAAGTCTTAACAAGAAATCGAAAACATCGTTCAAAGGAACATCACAAGTTTGTTTCTCAGAATCGAGACTACTCTGCAATCTGCAATGAACTTGTGGATTCTCTTGTAAATTTATTGCAGGAAAAATTCGATATTGATGCGGATACTGTTAAAATTTTGAAATCATTCACTGAGCTAGTGCCGTCCGTTGATATGAAAGCACTTCATAAATTGATAGGAAGCAACTTAGATCTTGCTGAACTTTCAAAGGAATATTCGGAGCTTCTCACTCATCAAAATATTGAGCAGTTAAAAAAAAATCAGCTTGAAAGAAACTCTTCAGGCTTTAGTGATGACAAATTTTTTTCCCAATGTTTCTGTTATAATGGGCAGAATTGTTGCAGCAAAACCTCATTCCGCTGATGTTGAAAGAGTGATTAGTGTGAACAATTTGTTGAAAACCAGCAATAGAAGCAGTCTAAGTATTGAAAGCGAGAATGAATATCTATATATTTNCAGTCTAAGTATTGAAAGGGAGAATGAATATCTATATATTTGTTTTAATCTTCCTCCATTAGCCAAATGGAATCCTCGTAGAGCAATTAATGAGTGGTTTAAGAAAAAAAGGAGAGTTAGAGAAACTGTTAAGGCGAAAGAACAAGAGTAGTATAAGGGAATATTGATAAGTGCAAATGATAACCAAAAATATTCGCAAACCGAAGAAAAATACCCAACCCAACCGCATAGCTCTGTTATCCGAAAAGTACTTCGTTATGTTGATGTTTATGTTTATGTTGTACTTTTCAATCTTATGGGTTTATCTAAGTTAAAAATTAAACTAGAGTCCCTATACTCTAGGTGTTCAGGTTCATCTCACAGAAGGACTACGTTGAGAGTTGATCATTGATGCCGGTAAGTGTAGATAACGCCAAACATTTGTTTAACTAATAATATTTGTTAACAAAATGCACATTATTTTGAAAAATACCGAAAATTACACTTAAAGGCAAAAACAAATAGGTAGAGAATTCTAAATTTTCATAATATTATTTTACAAAATATCATAACATTAATTAAAATTTTTTGGAACATTTTAAGATTTGAAAATACGATACTTAATTAACTAAAAAAAAATAGCACATATTATAAAATGTGCAGCCAACAAATTCATTCATATGCACTTCAGTTTTTTTATTATATAATATTAATTTATATAATAAATCATGGTAGTTATTCAGGGGGAAACTAGACTAGTGACTGTCAGCTCTGATTTTTCCGTGTGTCTAATTTTTTTTTTAACTTATAGTATGTCACACAAGTTTTAAGTTAAACCTTTCTATATAAGGGGAAATGATCTGATATCTAAAAAAAGTAGATCGGAAAAAATATTATGTATGAAATGTTTATAAAAAAATTGTTTAATGCATATTATTTTATGAAATTGTTAAATAACCTGATATTGTAAAAAGGGCTAAGCCCGTTAAATTTATAAATAAATATATTTTCAAAATAGTAATAGTGATTTAAATTTAAAATATAAAATCGTTATAACTACGGCAGCCATTTACACATAGATGATAATACGTCGGGACAAATATTTTTTAACTTATAGTACTTATATTAATTATATAAAGTACTCTATTTTGACATCAACATTTTGACAAATAATTCAATTTTAAAAGAACTGCTCAGAGAAGATAAATTTGCGCTCACTACAATTATTGAAACCAAAAAAGAGCACTCTAAAACTTCTATAGAGAAAATTACATCAATAGATAATTCATTAAACTTGGACAAAACATCATCGATAAATAATCTTTCAACCACATCGTAAAATATTGCCAGAAAATAATACTTCAACACATTACACGAAAATTTCATTACTGAATAACGAAATTGAATCTATTAAAAAAAAGCCCATCAACACATTCATAGATAATTCTGTATTAGCTAATAATTCTTTTAACACGAACATATTACAGTCAAAAACCAATCTTTCAATTCGACCATTTAAAATATTGCCAGGACATATTAACACATCCACTTAAGAAAACAACACTTTAATAAATAATTCTAACAACTTAAATAGAAAACCATCTAAAAAATTAACAGAAATTATTAAAACACCAAAAGCCTAGGAAAAGACTAAAGAGAATAGAACTTTACAACATGAAATACTAATAACAAAAAAGCCGCTACTAGAACTCGTCCTCATGATATTAAAAATCATTTATGGGATAAGAGGTACTTATTATTCTCTAAATTTAACCAAGGAATCATGATGGACAATGATAATAAAATAATTATTTAAGCAAACTTTAGTATTAAATAATAACTAATATACTAATAACGATAACGTTTTTTTTTCAGAATAATTTTATTCCGTTTGTCTCGAAATCTTAAACGCACATAAAGCTTTGAGATGTCTAAACATCGCTATGGATCTGTTTTATGGTCCTGGTGAAAACGTTATCCAATTGGACAAGAGATACACACGAGTAATCGCTGTTGATATCAATGCTAAAAAATTAGAATCTGCCGAAAGAAACACAAAGATTTATGAAGTCAGGGACATAATTACATTTATACAAAAAGATTTTTCCGAGATCGCAGAAACGTTAAAAAAATATAAGCCACAGGTCATAGTGACGTCTCTTACATGGGGCGGTTTTTCGTATAAGAAACACGAAGTTTACAGTCTTAAAAAACATATGTAAAACGACATTTTTTTTGAAAATCTAATCCTCTACCCGACCACAACAGAGGGTTCAAAATAACAACTTTACTTTTGAAAATGTTCCTGAAATACTGCGTCCTTTATACTTATGTCAAATTAAAGCTCATAAACCGTACTATAAATTAAATACAAAAAAAGTAAGTTAATAATGATTACTTTTAACATATTATAAATCAAAATCAATGATAATTTGAAAACAATTAATTATAAATATTATGTAATATATAAATAAAAATTAAATATTATATTTTTGAATCAAAGAATTACTAATCTAAAATAAATAAGGAAATTATAGTAGATGTTGCTTTTGTAATTATCCTCAAATTTCTTATGGTTAAACACTATCTATAGATTTGCATCGAAGCGTTTCTTATGATAGTGATTTTAATACGTCACCACTTAAACGCGAACCCATTGTGCTGAATTTTTTTTTAATTAATTGAAAAATCTATTGCCAAAACATTGAAATGCAAATTTAATATAAAGAAATTCATATTCCATTTTTATCGAAAATATTTTTTTTCTGTAATTATATCTTTAAACATACGTCTGCTACATTTATTATATTAAACAAATTAATCAAAAGAATTTTTATTTTAAGACAATATATTGTTTATTGATTAACAATTACTTAAAAAATGATTCACAATATTTTTAAATCTTCATTTTTAACATTAAATTTAAGTACTTAGATATATTATAATGTATAGTAGGATTTTTTACTTAACACATTAAAATATGTGCAATATTAAATTTGAATAATAATTGAATAAATAGATTAATCAAACAGATTGTACTAGTACTTTAAATGTAAGGATAATAAAAATTTAATGAGTCAATATCTAATTGCATACATTCCTCTGTATAATGACCATGCGTTAAACAATAATAGCATCTATAGATACAAAAAAATAACAAAATTAAATATATTATTTATACTGTTAAATCATTTAATAATTACCGTTGGCCATAAATATCTCCAACTATTTCAACATCTTTGGCCCAATTCGGCTGTGAATCATTGACCACAAACTTTGCTTTTTGTGGAGATTTATAATATTTATAAGAACCAACAATATCTTTCTAAAAAAAAGACAATTTTAAAGGATTTTTGTATTTTTTTGAAATAAAAAATATATATTATCAACTTCATGACTAAACCGCGAAACATAATTTTTTCAATTATTTTTGAGGAAAACAAAAATGCGCTATTTTTATATAGTTTAAAGAGAATTGTTTTATGTTTAATGCCTAATTACTACAAAAAAAATTTAAGATATTTTATTTTGGTATACGAATACTTAATTTAATTAATTTATGTATTAAAAACTTGACTAGTTTTTTTAAAACGCAGGTTCTGACATGTAAATGACAATAAAATAATATGCCTACCTTATAAAATTTATAACATTTTCCACTTTTTGAAATTATTCTACCAACTTCATTATTCATTCCAAAATAGCGTATAACACCCTCTTCGTGTTTACGCGTTTCCATAGACTCTGCTTCTTCAATAGCTGTTACTTCCAGTTCTGGCGAATCATTATTTGGGTGATCCTCTTCATTAAAAATATATGAAATGCAAAGGTCATTCACATCATCGTGTAAATCCTTATTTTCCACAGCAATCATATCTTCACCATTCTCTTGCTTAACTGCCAACAAATCTTCTATACAATCAACTTTGAGCTCTGGGGCACTATTTTTTGAGTGATCCTCTTCATTAAAAATATAGGAAATGCAAAAGTCATTCGTATCTTCAGGTAAATCCATATTTTCTACAGCATTCATATCTACATCATTTTCTTGCTTAACTGTCAACAAATCTTCTATACAATCAACTTTGAGCTCTGGGGCACTATTATTTGAGTGATCCTCTTCAGTTAAAGTATTGGAAGTGCAAAATTTATTCGTATCTTCATATAAATCCATATTTTCTCCAACAATCATATCTTCACCATTCTCTTGTTTTACAATTGACACACTACCTACTGACTCTACATTTTCTACATCGATATCATTCATTTGCGTTGTACTACATTCTATGTTTTTAACATCTAGTTGTACATCACCTGACATAATTTCTAATTAATATTTTATTTTATTCGAATTTCATTATTATTATAGTCTACACAATTATTACAAAATTATATATTTTTGATAAAATGAACATAATATCTTACTAAAATTCCTAAATTGAATTTTTTGAGAGTTGATTGTTACAATAGTGACACTACGGAGATATATTATTATATTTACTAAGCAACTAGACTTAAATAATGAAATTGTTCTATTTTTTCCAGCTTAATGTATTATTCATCCCATTATGCAATATAAAATTTTAAACTTTTTTGTATATAATTTGGTATTATTCGTTAAAAAAATAGCTGAGCTATAATAAACTAAGATACTTTACCACTTGTATTTTGCTTTTTGTTCTCCGAAACACAGCACTTAAATAATGTTGCCAATCGACGAAAAAAACTCTTCACCTTCATTTTAATAATGTTATTTACAATAAAATAAATGTATCAAATTATATTTTACAAAATTTTTAATGATTATCAGTAATTCAATACAAGCACAAAAAAATAGTTTTTTTTAAACAAAATCAAACAACAAACTAATTTATATTTGATTGTAAACATTTGTGTATAAATATTAAGTATCACGTAGCAACTTAATTTACTATTCTTATGATCAGAATACACTTAACAAAGATTTTTTTAACGCTAGGCCATCAATTTTTAGATAGTATTCATATCTTAATTGTTGTAAAGATACTACTAAATTTGAAAAATTTAATAATAGATATGAATTCAATTAAATATTTGGAGTGATGTAGACATTAAATGTTTGTTTATCTTTTTTGATAGTTTAGAAAATAGGTTCCTCAGAAGGAAAGCTATTTTCTTGAGTGAAAAATCATTTTGTTTTGGCTTCGATGCGAAACTGAAAAGGTATTAATTTTACCATGTTTTTTTTTTTTTTTTTTTTTGTCTTTGTAAAATCTAATTATATGCACATTTATGAGAAAAGGCTGATGACAATTANTTTTTTTTTTTTTTTTGTATGTCACTACTTTTTTGAGCTCTCAATGGACCGTTTTTTCTCGACGATACGCCAAAAGATCACAAATAGTATCTAGTTGAAGTCATTACACTCAAAAATCAAAACATTTTCTCTCATTCCCAATAAATAGTGAAAATCCCCAAAAAAATTACAATTTTTAAAATTTTTAAATTTTGACATTTCTTTTATTTTTTTTTAAAAAATTGTCAACTTATTGAAAAATGAATGAATCAAAATAATTTTTTATATTGAAACCTTAGATATTTTTCTTTTATTTTATGTCATTTTTTGGAAATCTAACACATAACATGCTCATAGAAGGGGATTGAAATAGCAACTTTTTTATAAAAATTAAATTTTTCAACATAACTTTTGAAATTGTTTCGGAAATACTGTGTCCTTTAAATATATATCAAATTAAAGCTTATTTCATGTACTATAAAATGAAAAAAAACAATTTCTATGTGCAAATAGTTGCCGTAGTTAAAAACGTGCTATTTTTGTGTTAAAATTTTTTATTTTGGATTTTATATTTTCAAGTTTAAATTGCTATAATTTTTCAAAAAATGTATGTATTAACACAAATTTTCATTTTATAAAACATTATATATACCTCTTTCATTTGATATACTTTATATTTAAATTGGGCAATTTCTCTTTATACAGAGGGTGTTCAAAATTTGAAACATACGTAAAAAAGTAGAACTTTTTCAACTTAACTTTTGAAAATGTTCTGGAAGTACTACATCCTTTAAACATATGTTAAATTAAAGTTTACATTATGCACTATAAGATAAAAAAAAAATTTTCCTGAGACCTATCTTCTTTATGCAAATGGCTGCCGTAGTTAAAAGACATACAATTTTTGTGTTCAAATTTTATTTTATTTTTTGTTTATTTTAAAATACTTTATAAGTGTTTTTCATAGTAATGAGTCCAGCAATAAATATAAAATTTACATGAATCTAACTTACATTAAATATTAATTTATACTTATTTTGATAATTTTGGCTATTCAAAGTGAATTAAAATTTTTTTAAAAACTAGTAAAACTTTTTCAACTTAACTTCAACTTAATTTTGAAAATCTGCGTCATTTAAATATATATTAAAATAAAGTTTATTTTATGTACTAGAAGTTCAAAAAAAAAAAATTGTACCGTCTACCTGTTTTCTATGTGCAAATGGCAGTGGAAGTAGAACAGAAAATATAAGTTAATTTTACTTTTGGAATAATCGACCAATTTCTTTAACCAATTAAACAGTATCTACAGATTTGCATCGAATAGTTTCTATAGAGTATCAAATGTTATCTTAAACATCTTTTTAAAAATAGTATTCAAGTTGGCTTCATTAAATATATGTACTCCTATAAATAACTAAAAATTAATTGTATAAAGTCATTTATAGTTTATTTTTAAATGTTCAATTTATAGTAAAAGAATTTTCCAAAAATACAGGTCACTGTATGTCAAACATTTTTTTAACTAGTTCTCTATTTAAATGACTAAAAATAATTAATCATTTATTTATAAACCATCATATTTACAAATATTTTCTTTATAAAATAAACATTTTGCTTATTAAATAATTAAAAAAAACGATCAAAAAAGTTTACATGTATGAACAGATCAAAAATAAACACAAAATGTTGTATAAACATAAATAGTCATAAATACATTTTTATGTTTACAAATAAATACATAAACTCTCATTAGTTAACAAAGTTATGATTCACTATAAAACTCTTAATATAAATAATACAAGTTTTATTGATAACAAACATAAATATTTTGAATTAGGTTTGATCCATAAAATTATAATTTGTTGGGTTAAACTCAACACTAAAGAAATTTTATTTCGAAAGATTATTTTAGAACAAATTATAATTTTAAGTGTATGTAACAATACATTTTTTAAAAAAACAGTATTAATATTAATGGCGAAATTGGTGGTGTTTTGAATTGTGTGCGAGAACATAAGTACCTTATATCAATTTGAATATAATTGTTAAATATTCATTTAACAAAAAAAAAATATTTTAGTATTTTTCTAAAAAATTAGGAACATGAATAAAAATTACTATTTTGAATAAAATCAAAAATATTAATATAAAACTAAAAAACATTTTATTCAAAAAGCCACAAAAATTGTTAAACAATTATATGTACATGATTTTTTTGTACTTTTTGTGACATTTTAATTTAATGTATTTTATACTTTTTAGTTATAAATTAATATTTTAAATATATTCTTCATATTAAATAATATTATTTATTAGTGATTAACTCTGATTATACTAAAAAACTTATAATAATAATTCACAAAGATCATAAATAATTTTGATTTAAGTGTAAATACTACAAAAATCATTGCAACCGTAGAAAGTAAAATGTTTTGGTAGCTAGTTTCAGATATAATTGATATTTAATATTTACAATGTATAAAATATTTGTTAATAGTTGGTATATGGTTTTAATCGAAAATTTATAATTTTTTTTGCAAATAAATCAATATTTTTCCAACTTAAAATGTCTTGAAATATTAATAAATCAAATAGCCAATTTTGATTATTCTAAACAGATTTTATATATAATTTATTTACAGTAATATTTTTCATTAAATACATTTATCATAAGTCGCACTTAAATTTGCAGACAATATAAAAACAGACTTGGTCGTTCACATGGAAAACAACCGTTTCAATTAGTTGGATCATTGTTTTTGTGTCAGCTAATATCTGCATGAGTTGCTGCTAATAGCCGCGCTTGTATACTATCTGGAGTTATATTAAGTTTGCAACAACTTGATCGACGTCGCTCACCTTGTATCATTGGTACCGTAAGTAAGTCACTTTTATTTTCATTTACAACCATTGCAGGTACTCTGTTGAAATTTTAATTAATTAATTAATTATAATATTGAAATTGTTAATTTTATTATGATTAATTTATGTATCCTTGCATGGTGTATGACACTGCAAGTAAATACAAAAAGTGAAAAAGCTATATCTCTAAAATGTATAAAATACCATAATTAAATTCTTAAAAAGAAATGTTCAAATTTTCACATACTTGATTTTATAACCCAACGCAAACAAAGTAATGAGAAATTTTGATAAATAGTAATAAAAAATTATACTTGTATACGAATTTACGATACTCTATGATAAAATTAAACTACTTATTTTAAAATAAACGTATATATTAAAAATATTATACTGACGTAAAGGAATCTTCGAATCATGTCTAACATTGTGTAAAAGGGTCTTGTTTTTTTTTCCATTAATAAACGAACACAAAAATGTTGTGTTATTATAAATTGTTATAGTTATACCGGAAATATATTTAAAATACAGAGTGATTGATTAACTAAGACACACGCAGTATTTTTATAAGTATAGAACATATTATAATTTTTCTTTTAAGAAGTTATTAGTATTCTATGTTCTATAAATTTCAAGGAAAAATGGGTCCTATTCCACTTTAAAGTTTTAAATAAAATAAATATTTATCCTCTCACTCCTTTAAAAATGATATCAACTAATGATTTTTAAATGGAACCTTAATATGTTCCCATACTTTTTAAAATATTCATCTAAAAGTTATTATTGATCAGTTATATTATAAGATAGATCATTATCATATTTTTATGCTAATTAAACAAATATTTTCCCATTGAAACAACTGAAGTTTATATAATTTTAAGGAGAGAGAGGGATTAGGGCCATTTTTGGGAGGGGGGGAAATTATAGAATTATAGAGCATTATTGACTTCCGATAAGGAAAAATTATAATATATTCTATACCTTTAAAGATATTGTGTGATTCATAGTTAATAAATCACTTTGTATATTAACAGACACTGGACTTCTAAACCAGTGACTTTATATTATGTTGTTTAAATAAAGATCATTAAAAAAAATATTAGAATGTCTGAACAAATTGACTATTAAAATTCATTATCTTGATATATAGTGTAATTTATTAAAAAAACTTCATTTAAATTTTTCGTTTAATAATGATTTTTCATAAAAATGAACTGAATAAAGTTTTAATAGCTATAGTAAATATCAAATTAATATAATAAAAAGAACCTAGCACAGTGGGGACGTGGTATAGTTGAGTCCAGTATAGATGATATCTGACAGTGATTAAAATCACTATCACAAAAAACTAATAGAATTTATAAAAAATTAAAAAGTAATTATTACTTTTATGGCAAACGTGTATAAAAATTGAAGGGCTTGACACAAAACTTTTTAGATAATACTTTGATTTAATTATGAATAAATGGTCTGCAAAAAATTTTCATCAAAGTAAAAAAGGTATTTTTATTATGCAATTTTTTGTGGTAATATTAAATCAGCAATTATATGTTTTCCATCACCTATAATTTTTGATATTATTACTAATTAGTTAAAAACTATAGGATATAACTATAAGGAAAATAGTTCTGAATACTTCAATTGTATCATCTATTTAAACACCAAGAATTACATAGAAATGATTAATATTTCTTATGAAATGATTTATTAGGATAAAAAAAGTAGTTAAAAACACAAAAAATTGTTTTTAAATTATTACAGATTTTGATTTTTAATATTTTAAAAATAATCACAACAAAATATCATTTTTAACCTATTTTTTTAGTATTATAAAGTTAATTTTTTGAAGGTTTATAATAAAAAAAGTGGAATGTGTTATCATAATTTTAAGCTCAACTTCAAGTTTGAAAATTACATTATTAAATAGAAAATTTTACGAGGGTAAAAAATAGTATTGTTAAGATTAATATGCAGTCAGGAAATTATATAATTTTATTTGCTGTAAATTTATCAAGTAAGCTCATTATTTTTTTGCATTTTTATTGTAATCGATCATAATAATCATTTCTAAGTAATTTTTGACAATTTAAAATATTCTACAATTTAATTATTCAAAATATAATTAATTTTAATGATTTATTTAACTAAAAAACCAATCAAAATGTTGTTAAAAAAATCTACTCAATTGAGTGTATTAGTTGTGATCATTTGATGTATCGTTAAAAAGAGTTGGTCAAGTGAGAAAATAAATGAAAGCCATAAAAAAATCACATAGTAAAAAAACTTAATATGATTATGAAATTTCTTCAAACGAGAGGGGAATACAATGATGTGATCCTTGATATGTATTAAAGTTATTGTACTTAAATTAAATAAAAATCAAATAATTGAAAAGTTTTTCTAACTCAATAACTCTTGTGAGGTATTTTAAAAACAATATCGAAAATTTTAATACAAAAATAGTATACAGTAGTCATTTTCATCATGAAGACAAAATAAAGTCAGACTTTTTTTTTTCATAATAAAGTATATTACATAAGCTTTAATTTAAGGTATATATAATAGTATTAGTATTTCCGGAACACTTTTAAAAGTTAAGTTGAAAAAGTAAATTTTTGTGAAAAAGTTGTCATTTTGAAACCCCCCTGGGGGAGGTGAAGAAACATTATTTGAAAAGCTTGAGGATTTATCCATGTTCGCAGTTGGTTGCTGACGTTTCGGACTCATTGCAGAGTCCATTTTCGGAGCGATAGTTACTGCTCGGTGGCTGAAACTATACTGGCAGCTTATCTTGTTATCAGTCTGTTTTTATACGTTGGTTGTTTATCATATCGGTTGTTTATCATATCTGTTTATGACTCATGTTGTTTACGGTATCTTGTTTTTGCTGATGTTTTTGTTGATGACTTTGTTTTTGATTATTGTTGTTGTTTTCGACATTCTTGGCATTTTGGTCTTCCTTTTCTGCACCGACAGTTTTCCATTACATTGATAGTAACTTTTTCTTATATTGAACTGTTTTCAGTGTTGTTAGTTGATTTTCTTTTTGTCTCGTGTATGATGGGTGACCAAGTTTTGCTTATTTTTCATCCGTCTTCTCTGTTGAAATTCTCTGAACATTAAATATCAACAAGGCAATCAGAAAAGCAGAGAAAAGAAAAAACACAACACACAATGACGATGAAGAAAACAAAGAAGATGAAAAGAAAGGAACTTTAATACTACCGTACATACAAGGAATCACTGACCGCATTTCAACCGCTCTTGTGGTAAATCCTACATTGGACAAACAGGAAGAGCTATTGCAACAAGAATAAAAGAACACGAAAAAGACGTGGATTACCAAAGGACAGAAAAATCCGCAGTTACCGAACACGCTAAAAACAAAGGACATGACATCCAATTCAATAAAGTTAAAATACTAAACAAAGAAGCTCATTTTGGCAAACGAATGTACAAAGAGGCAATAGAAATCGAAAAATGTTCAGAGAATTTCAACAGAGAAGACGGATGGAAAATAAGCAAAACTTGGTCACCCATCATACACGAGACAAAAAGAAAATCAACTAACAACACTGAAAACAGTTCAATATAAGAAAAAGTTACTATCAATGTAATGGAAAACTGTCGGTGCAGAAAAGAAAGACCAAAATGCCAAGAATGTCGAAAACAACAACAATAATCAAAAACAAAGTCGTCAACAAAAACATCAGCAAAAACAAGATACCGTAAACAACATGAGTCATAAACAGATATGATAAACAACCGATATGATAAACAACCAACGTATAAAAACAGACTGATAACAAGATAAGCTGCCAGTATAGTTTCAGCCACCGAGCAGTAACTATCGCTCCGAAAATGGACTCTGCAATGAGTCCGAAACGTTAGCAACCAACTGCAAATATGGATAAATCCTCAAGATTTTCAAATTATATGACAATCCATGAAAGTTTCAACACATTCAGGTAAAGAAACAGATTTATAAAAAAAAAATGTACAAAATGATAGATAATTATCTCATGTATCATCAAAAAAAATTATATTAATTTGATCTATTTTAAAAAAATTATGGCAGTTTTAAGTTAAAAAATATTGAAAAAATGTCGAAAATCAGCAATTTTTAAATTACTGTAATTTTTTTGGAATTTTCCTCCATTTACGATGAACGAGGGAAATTTTTTCAATTTTTGAAGGTAATGTCTTCGACTAGATACAATGTGTGATCTTTGACATATCGTTGAAAGAACGAGAGCTGAAAAAAAATGGTAACAGACACAAAAAAAAACATAATAAACTTAATACCTTCTCAGCTTTGCATCGAATCTAAAAATATGTCTAATTATAGTTTGTGGAGGCAATTTTTGAAAGTTAACTGTGAACCTATAATTATTTTTATGCTAACATATTAAATTGACAAACATTTTGACTGGTCAATAACTAGTTTTACAACTTTGCTTTTTAAGTTATAAACATTTAAAGATTTAAACAAAGTGAGAAGCAGGGGCCAGTTTATCCTACTAGAGAGAAAAGTATGTTTCGGCGCACGAGGTTACGGGTTCTATCCCCAGGGTGCCAACTAGATTTTTCTTGTGATTTTGTCATTGGTGATGTTTGGTCTGTGGTGCAAACCGGCCAGAGTACACGACTTGTCCATCATTAGCTTAGCCAAGAACCACCCTCTGTAGCATGTTAAGTCTGGAATAGAATAGAAGAATGTAAAATAACTGATCATTTTCATTTTTTAAAGAAGGTGAAAAAGCGAGTTAGATTTGTTCTATTTTTACTATAAAACACAAACTAAGTTACGTACCTCTCTTACCTATACCAAAATATTATTTTAACTCAAAAAATAATATTAAAATACTGGTAATCTACCAGTCAAAATTTTATTTAGTTCATTCTCAATCTGACCGTATAAGTAACTATACCCTTAAAATCTACCAATAGAAATAACATTTTCATCCAATAAACTTGATATTAAACATGATTTATACAAATAAATAAAACTTTATTCATACAATTTTTATAAAAAAATCATTATTTAACAAAATAATTAGTGATAGTATTCTTAATAACTTTTTATGATAATGTTTTGGAAACAATATAACATGTAATCATTTTTTAAAAGTTTCTATAATGATTTATTGTGTACAAATGTAGTGGCGTATCCAAGGGGCACAAGGCCTCTATTAATGTCAATATTGATTTCTAAAATGAATTGATGAACAAAAAACAAAAAATTTAAAAAAATAGAATTTTGTAGGTTTTTTTACTTTTCCCCCATTATGAAATTCTGGTTACGCCATTGTTCATAAACTTATTTTTATGTTTATTCTATATGCATTAAGATTGATAGTTCATTAAAATATATTAATAATATACAGTGCTGGTATTGTCGAAGCATTCATAGCCTTAATGAGTTCTTCTTCCCAATCATGCTCTTTGCGTTCCATTTCTCGTCTCAGAAGTTCTCTTTCGCGATTATAACATTGAAATTGTTGAAGTTGTCTATTAACTTCCGAGTCCTAGAACATCAAATGCTTCATAAATTTTTTAACTAAATACCAACCCTATCTACAACCCAATACTTACTTCAATTGACGTTGAAATTCTTAATGATCTTTGTTTAGCTAGTCGTCTTGGTTTTCTATGTAGTGGGTTAGGCTCAACAATCATTTCCTCGAGTTCAAATGTTGGATCACAATTGAGTCTATCTTTCTAAAATTAATTAATCAAATATTTATTTTGGTACTTGAACAAATATAGATGTGCATGTACAACTAATTATAAATCACTAAAATTTCGAAGTAATTTAATATTGAACTTTACAGCCATTTAAAAAGAGTTTAATATGCATAATGTAATATACAATATTTATGTGTACATAAATAAAAATTAAGTTTTTTCAAAAATGATAGTAATATCAGAGCATAAAAAATAGTTAAATACTTTTGAGCATTGGAAACCGATAGTTTTGATTGAATGAATTAAATAATTGGACATAATTAGAAAGAAATAAAAAGGTATTTTTTCTTTGGGACGTTACATTAATAGTTTTGCAAATTCATATTTTTATGAGTTTTTAATACTTTACCGCTGGTGTGAATGGAGGTTTGATCTGTTTTTCTAGAATCATTCCAAAGTTGTAGCGACTTATACATGCTATTGATTTAAGTTTTTTTACATTTGTTATTCTTTCATCTGGATTTATACATAAAAGCTAAAATAAAAAATAAATTATTTAAATCTGTTGAACTAATAGAAATTATTGCTTATTGATTATTTATCAGTATAATAATGTTCCACCACAATTTTCCTCGGAGGCCACCTTATTTTACAGATCATTCACATTTTATAGTTATTTTTAGGGTAGGACTTGTATGTTCTCTTTGTATGGTGGTATCTATATACTTTTCTACGTATTTATACAACGTTTGTGAACTTTAAAATAAATTGATGTCAGCTTAACCCGCTTATGTTTTTGTCTTTTATTTATGCTTAATACGTGAGCAAAACATCTCTAATCCTTTTTTTTCTATCTCGTTTATCTCTATTTTTCTTTTAAGATGACGTGTTGTTCCACGACTCACTTAATTATTTTTTTCCAATTTCAGTGAAATTTAACACGATTTTTTCTCGTAATATCAATTTTAGTTATCTTTCTATTATAAATTACATAATAAACAACTGTAAAATATTTTTTTTTTATTTAGCGCTTTCAATAATTAATTTTGTATTTGAAAAAATATCAATATTAGTTCACTTATAATTAAATAAGATTTTTTCGTTTATATAAATTTTTTTTTTTATTTGAGGTTTATAAGCATTAGCACAAATATGCTTTAGCTACTTAATAATCATAGTAGATTTTATTATTCTATTAAAATCTTTTAAGGAAAATAAAATTCATTTTTTATATATTCATAAATAATAATGTTTATAATGAGATCTTGACTTATAATATTCTGAGTGTGCACACTATGTATTTTAATTTGAATAAAGTAAAAATTTCTAATTTAATTTTCAACAATTATTTACTAACACACATTAATTATGTAATGTTTTATGAAATAAATGTATTTCTTGTTAATATTGTATTCACATTTATGTACTTCCATTAGGAAGTATCTTTAATCTGATATACAAAAATATGTAAACTATAATTCATAAATTATGCTTATTGTTCAAATACAACAGATTGTATAAAATAAAAATAAAAGCAGCATAAAGTTCAAAACCCTATTTGCGCCTATATCTAATAGTATCTTATATGCAATGATAGAAAAAATAATGCTCTGTCATTGAATTTAGATCAATAATCAATATTAATAATAAAATTAAATAGAATGTATTTTAGTTTTAAATCACTAACTTCTTTACATTTTAGCGCCTGGTTTTTAAAAAATTATCTTTAACCATTATACCATTCTATTACGATTTAATTTTTTAAATAAAAATAATGTATATTTATTTCTGATGTTTAATATATTAAATATACCTTCTGAAATAGTATTCCTAAATTTTCTGAGCATTTTGGTGGAATTGTAGTTGAATTTGTTGAATTAAATATTAAAGATTTAACTTCTCTGGGAGATGTGACGGAATGTATGTCATAAGGTCGACATCTAGACATTACTTCATATAAAGTTACGCCTAGGGACCACCAGTCAACTGCAAACGAATAGCCAGGACATTCGCCCAATGAACATAAGTAAATCTCAGGAGCTAAAAAAAAGCGTCTAATATTATTGTTAGGCTTCTGAAAAATGAAAAGTAAAGTTTTTACAATAACATAATGAGAAGCAATACAATGCACTGTAGGATTAAGTATTCACTAATAATAATAAAAAATTTGATTTTTATTAAAATTTTTGTACCTAAAATATTATCATCAATATAAATATATTAGCTTCGATGCGAAGCTGAGAAGGTATTGGTTTTACTAAGATGTGTTTTTTTTTTTTTTTTTTTTTCTGTTACCACTTTTTCTCAGCTCTCACCGAACCGATTTCTTTCAATGATACGTCAAAAGATCACAAATTGTATCTAGTCGAAGACATTACCCTCAAAAATTGAAAAAAATTCCCTCGTTCCCTGTAAATGGGGGAAACCTCCAAAAAAATTACGAATTTAAAAATCGCTAATTTTCAAAATTTTTTCAATTTTTTTTACTTAAAAGTGCCATAACTTTTTCAAAAATAAACATATCAATATAATTATTTTTTATATAGATGCATAATATCATTACCTTTCATTTGGTGTATTTTTTTCATAAATTTAACCCTTAACCTGCCCACAAGGGGGGATTTAAAATGACAACTTTTTCACAAAAAATTAATTTTTTTAACTTAAATTTTGAAAATGTTCCGGAAGGTCTGACACTTTTATATATATCTTAAATTAAAGCTAATGTAATATGCTTTATCATGAAAAAAAAAAATTTCGGACTTTATCTTATCTTCATGGTGAAAATGGCTACCGAATGCTATTTTTGTGTGAAAATTTTCGATTTTGTATTTTCCATTTTTAACTTTATTATGCTATAACTTTTTGAAAAATGTATGAATCATTACAATTTTTTTATGAGAAGTAGTATTTATATAGATCTTTCATTCGACATACTGTTTTTTTAAATCGGACCATTTCCCTAAATACAGGGGGGATTCAAAACATAAAAATGCATATAGAAAGTAGAACTTTTTCAACGTAACTTTTGAAAGTGTTCCGGAAGGTCTGACACTTTTATATATATCTTAAACTGAAGCTAATGTAATATACTTTATTATGCGAAAAAAAAATTTCGGACTTTATTTTATCTTCATGGTGAAAACAGACATCAAAGTTTATAAAAAAAATAAAATTTTCGATTTTGTATTTTCCATTTTTAACTTTATTATGCTATAACTTTTTGAAAAATGTATGAATCATTACAATTTTTTTATGAGAAGTAGTATTTATATAGATCTTTCATTCGACATACTGTTTTTTTAAATCGGACCATTTCCCTAAATACAGGGGGGATTCAAAACATAAAAATGCATATAGAAAGTAGAACTTTTTCAACGTAACTTTTGAAAGTGTTCCGGAAGGTCTGACACTTTTATATATATCTTAAATTAAAGCTAATGTAATATACTTTATAATGGTAAAAAAAAATTTCGGACTTTATTTTATCTTCATGGTGAAAACAGACATTAAACTTAATAAAAAAAATACGATTTTTGTAAAAAAATTCTTTTTTATATTTTTAACTTTATAATGCTATAACTTTTTGAAAGATGTATGGATCAATATAATTTTTTTTTTATAGATGCATGATGTCTTTACCTATCATTTGGGTATATATTTTTTTTATATCTGACCCTTTACCTGCCCACAGGGGGGGATTTAAAATGACAACTTTTTCACAAAAAATTTTCTTTTTCAACTTAAATTTTGAAACTGTTCCGGAAAGTCTGACACTTTTATATATATCTTAAATTGAAGCTAATGTAATATACTTTATCATGGAAAAAAAAAATTTCGGACTTTATTTTATCTTCAAGGTGAAAATGGCTACCAAATGCTATTATTGTGTGAAAATTCTCAATTTTATTTTTTACATTTTTAACATTATAATGCTATAACTTATTGAAAAGTGTATTGATCAATATAATTTTTTTATGGGAAATACTATTTTCTAATAATCTCTTTTTTATTCGACATACTTTGTCTTAATCAGGATATTAATAAGGAACTAGCAGTTTATGAAGCTTTTGGAATAATCCACCAATTTTTTAAAATTAAACACTATCTAAAGATTTGCATCGAAGCGTTTTTTTTTGATAGTGATTTTAATCACTGTCAGATATCATTATACTTGATCCAACTATGCCACGTCACCACTGTGCCGCGACCCCCCTGTGCTGGGTTTTTTATATTTATTGTAAACTATTTTGTATAGATCCTTATTGAACTAACTAGCAACCTTCTTACTCTCATTGAACTGCATATTGATAGGAAAAATATGAAAATGCATACAACTTCTGAGCTTAAGTATAACTATCAAACAGTTTTATAGAATACCATAAGTTTTAATATGTTGAATACATATTTCAACATCTTTTAAAAATTGCATTTAACTATAACATAATACAGAAATGTAAAAAATGCCATATTTTAATATAATGTTAATCAAATAAATACTATATATGAAAAATAATTATTTATACTATCTAAAGATTATCTAAACTTTATTTGTTATCTATTTTCTTGAAAGTTATAATACAGCATCTTAATTTAAGTCAATTTATTCTTAAAAATACATGTGTTTTATATAATACTTTCTTAGAAATGTATTGAATACAAATAGGCAGTAAACAATGTAATGTATCAGCAAGATATTTCTTTTAGCTTACGAATAGAAAGCTCTTGGGAAATAGTTGAAAGTAAAAATAAATAGACATGACATTATGACTTTGTTGACTCAAACTTACGAAAATAAAACTAGACACTCTACCAAGCAAATGCAACGAGAACTTTAGAATTCAAGAGGATTAACGAAGTAAAAATTCATCAAATAAAATATTATGTAGCTAAATATTTCAAAAATATATATGAAACTTTCTTAGAGTATTCTGAGATAAATTAAAACTTAAATATTTTCATGTATTTGATAACAAGTTTGTTTTGTAAGTTCAAAGACTTCTAAATTTGTAACTATATACTCAACATTTGTGCATTTTTTGATTATATACATAACTTTTATTTTGTAGTTAATTTAGAAAATTGCATACACAATCATTGTTGATTTATTAAAAAAAGTTTGAAATTAATTATTATCTGATGCTAGCTGCGTGATGAAAAATAACTATTAATTTTATTAATGAATGATAAATCAATTGAGCTCTAAATTTTAAAAAAAAACTTATATTTGATGTTCAGCTTTAAAAAAACAAAAATAATATTATTTTAGTATTTATAAAAATATACTAATATAAATTATAAACTATACAATAATAAATGTTTATATTTAACGCCAAATATTTTTAAGATGATCTAAACTATTTTATACTAACCTATATATGGTTTTGTACCAGATAAAGACGTGGCTAGTTTTTTATCTTTTAGTGTGGCAGCTATGTTGAAATCTGTGATATGTGCATGACCTAGGAGAAAATAAATTAACATTTCAAACATGATTTAGATTTTTAATTTATTTTTTTACCCTCTTCGTCCAGTAAAATATTTTCAGGTTTAATATCCCTAAAACAAAATTATTAAATCAAATCTAAGTAAATCAACAATGTATTGAATTCCTAAAAAGCTATTTTCACGTATTTTATTAAGTTAAATACGTATATTACAAAAATTGTATAAGAGATCAACAAAATAGTCAATTGATTAATCTATATATTTTAATTCCTGTTAAGGTTATAACTATTGTATACATCATCTAATCATTAAATTTTAAATTTAATACATGAAAATATATAAAATTAACCTATTTTTTTTTGTAAAGTTTCATTACAACTTATAGGTAGTAATTTAATTTAATTCAGTTAGTAATTTAGTTTAGTTAATATATCGTTACAGGGTGATTCATTAAGGATAAGACACTCGTTTACTCAGTAACTATTGAAAATTTTAAATTTTTGGTAGGGAAAATATTTTTTGATTCAAAAAACACTACAATAATATGTAGAAAAAACATGATATTTTTCATCCCTTCAAAGTTAAAAAACATTAATTTGAGTTTTTTTAAATGAGAACACACATTTTGAATTTAACAAAATTTTTTAATTTAATAGCAAATAACATTTTAATTTTTAATATAACTTTATTCGTTTTATTCTTTATTAGATATAAACACTTAAAGTTTCAAATTTTTGAGTTAATATACATGTATAATACACAAGGGTTACAAATACAGGTAGCTAAATGGTTTTTATGACATTGCTATCACAATCACGGATTATTTATTATCAATTATGACTATCAATAGATATACTTTTTATATAGTCAGTTAGTTTATTTATGAACTCACAACAATGTGCCTTACTACCACTGATAATAACAATGTTGTGTATCTACGAATATTAAAATAATTTAAATAATTAAAAAAAAAATAATAATTTTTACACTGAAATATTAAAAATATTTGTTTACTATAACGACATAACACAAATAATATAATTTCACATAAAACGAAATAACAATAAAATTATGACAAATAAAAGTTTAGTAGTGCTTAAAAGTTATGGTATACTGTACGTTAAAATGAAGTTTTTAAATTGAATTCGATTTTTTTAGTTTACAGAAAATTGTTAATTTGTTTTTTCAGTGTAACCTTTATCTGCCATCTAGCGGTTAATTTTGTATATTTAATTATGCCGTTTTACTAGTATAAAAAAATACATCAATACTATTATTATTTGCAAACAACTCAAAAATAGCAATTTTTGTGTTATGACGTTTTTGTTGCAAACAAGGGTTATATAGTAAAATAATTTATTGGAACAAATCTGCTTCAAAGGGACCGCTCAAAATTTACAGCACTTAAAAGTTGACGAGTCAACAAACCAAACATAATTAAAATATCTGGGTTTTTTGTTATTACTGTTTAAAATTATTATGTAACGTGGTTTTTTCGTGAATTTTCTTTAATGACACTATAACTACTACGTAATAACAACAATTAAGAATAACTCTTAAGAAACTATATATTATCGTCATACAAAGACTTATAATTAATATTATTTATAGATGACTTGGTAAAACTGGAAATAATTACACCTTTGCGTCTAGTGCTTTTGAACAACAGTAGAACGGTCGATCTTTGTGGTTTCCCGTATTTGATATGCGCAATGTAGCCCTTTTATGGCAATTATATGATTGATGATGTCACTCCAATTAATATTTAATATAACGATAACTTATTGAATCTCCAAATGTTTACGACAAGTAATAAATTGTGAATGTTTATTGGAGAAATAAAAGTTTTCTTTATTATTAATAGTTATTTTAAAACCGCAAAAACATTCATAAAGACTTGCGTTTAAGGTAAAATAGTATAACGACTGTCTGCTAATAATCCAGAAACAGATTTTTTATTTTACAACTATTTGACACCTGATATAAAATTTAACACCAAGGACATATTTAAATATGTTATGCGTTTAAGAATCCAAAAAATAGCCGTCTTTAATAAGGGTCTATGAGAAGTCCCTCCCCACCTAATATTTTTATATTGTTATTAAAAAAGTATTTTCAATACGTAATGTAAAATCAAATTCAAATAACACCTATTTAAAGCACCAGAACCAAATTTTTTAATGGGCTCCAAGAAAAGTTTTTTCATAAAAACTGTAAACAATATTTTTGTTACAACACAAACAAAAAGTGATAAAAAAATTAATAATAATAATAATATGGTTTTGAACTTTTGTTAAGTTATTTTATCAATTACACGAGATAAAAGACTAGTTTATTTTTCTGCCCTCTCTTAATTAAAAAAAAATTCCATTCCTAAAAATTTGCTGCTATTTGGTAGTTATGAGAAAATGTGTTTAGTCTACTTAAAATGGATCTGTCAAATGGAAAACAAATTGCCGTGATACACTGTGTTGATCATCTTTATTAAAAAAAGTACAACATTTTTAAAATTCGTTAAATATCATTGGCTTTTAATTTGAACAGTTAATGCCGTTTTAACATTGTTTTAATGTTATACTTTTTTTAAATGATTCTCAGACAGGAATAAACTTTAAAAACCAGAATTACATAATAACTTTGAATAAAAATGCTCGATTTTTTCAATTATTTTTGTTAATTAACTCAACAACTATAAAACGCTATAACTTTTGAACTGATTTTTCTTGCTCAAAAATTTTTACATTGTTTAAACAAGATATAAAAAAAAAAAGTAATTGAAAAAAAAATGTGAAAAAGAGGGCCTTCTGTAAAGTAGATTTATACCAATTTATGTATAGATTTTTACCTATGAATAATGCGTTCACTTTGTAAGTATTCTAATGCTGATCCAATTTCACAAGCAAAAAGCTTTATTGAGTTTTCACTAAACTTAACATCTTGGTCGAGATGATATCTGAGATCACCACCCAATAACAAATCAGATACCATAAAGAGATCTTCTTCATCTAGAATATTAATTTTATAATACAAACTATTTTTTACAAGTTTAAAATTGAAATATGTTATAATTGTTGTTCATTAATACAATGAAGTCCTAAGAAAATAAATTTCTAAAAATAAATAACTTTTGTTTAAGATTATTAATCAAAAGCGAATATAAACATAATTTCAGGGGTGTCATTTAGAAAAAGGCATGGTTGCATTCGCACTAACTTTTTTAAAAACACCTTAGTTAGACTGCCAAAATACAATTGTTGCGACAATATACTTATGTTATAGAAATTAAATTTGATATCGAGTCAATAATTTTTTAAATATTTCAATGTTATTATTTCATAATTTATTCATTGTGGTTTAACTAATAATGAAAACTATCATGAAAAAAATGATAACGGAAAATATATCCTCAAACAATTGTATTATCGATAACTATTAGACACGAACTAATAGTACAAATAACATTATTGTTTACCCAGTACTCCTCTTTAAAGCATGGTACTATGAAAGCAATAAAATATTAATTTTGATGAGGATTATCAAATTTTCATCAATAAGGAAAAAATATCTAAAAATAGATAATATAACCGAAAATATCTCGTTTTATATCATTTTATCAACAAAGAAGTATAATACAGAGGTATTCATTTATTCTTTTGTTCACATATTTTCTGAGAAACTTGAAAATTTAATTTTTGTAATTAAAAATTTATTTGGTTCAAAAAACTACAATGATATTTGGTTAAATAATATTTTTCTACCCTCAGTATTTTAAACCTTAAATTTAATTTTCTTAAATGGGAACCCTTAATTAAATTGATAATATGATGAAAAAATAATTTTGGAACTTAGAGAGGACATGTAGCGCGGGTGGGAATTGTTCATATTGGTGTATATGCACACTACCTGCGCTACATACCTACTAAATGTATAAAAATGCTATTAATTCAATAAGTATTTGTCCTAAAATTGTTATCGACCCATTAATCATTTTTACAAATTGGCTATTTTTAAATTTTTTATTATTAAAAACAAATAATAAATATATGATTTTATGTAATCTAAGAGCACATAAATTAATATAAAAAAAATTACAGTGAAATGTTAGTTCTATCAAAAGTTATATGAGTTTTCAGTTAGATCTTTTCCATTCGATTTATTTTTTATAAATACATGATTTTTGTACTATTATAATTGACTTCTACATTTTCAATCATATAAGAAAATAAGCCTATTGATAAATAAGTACTCTACTAAGGCCCCATTTCTATTCTAACGGGTCCCTCAACATAATATGGAAATGATTATGGCCTGATTTATGTTAAAAGAATTACTAAAACATTGCCAAAATTTTATAAACAACAAAAAAAAAATCTGAAATGACACCCCTGCATTAATTACCTTTTTTTTAAGTTTCATCAATATTCAATGTTATTTGTATTTTTTTTAAATGGAAATAAACAATACTTCTTAATATACTAACAATGTGCTGATTTTTTTTGAAATGATAAAACAATACGAGTTTATTAAAAATTATGAGTGTCATATTAGTAATTTTAATTAATAAATGAAATCGTACATTGAGGAATGTGTGTTCATTTAATCATTTCTATTCATTTATACTCAAAAATAGAATCTTTACAATATAATACAAATATGAATCCATTTATTTATTTATAATACCTTGAAATGAGAACCATAAATTTACTAAAAATGGATGTTCCAAAGTAGTTAGAATTTCCATTTCTCTTAGGACATTTTTCAATGCATCTCTTTCTATACATCGACTTTTTTGCATGTATTTCATTGCGTACATTTGTCTTGTATCTTTCTTTTCAACGATACATACCTAAAATAACAAAACATTTCTCATTAGTAACCTAAATTCTTAGATGCAAAAATCTTTTAACAAACTATTCCTTAAGCATTTTAATACATTGAGTGAGTATGTAACATGAGTGTACTATGAATTATAAATATACACCAGTACGAGCTGTACCTACACGCGCTGCATACTTTATGTATTAAAATGTTTGTAACTCAATATGCACTTATCTAATTGACCTATGAATTTGTGGAGATGTAAAGGCTTCCAAAATTATCTTGGGATGCGTAGAAAAAATTTAAGAAATTTATATCATTGGTCATATTAACAAAAAATCGGCACAAATAATAAAATCAGGATGCATTTCAGAAAATATCTGAAAAACGTTTTTGTCATTATATCTCACATAAAGTTAAACATATGAAATTTTTACTTATTATATTTTTTCAAAAAATTAATTATTATCATTTATAATGTGAAATATCTGTTTGTAACTTTAAGCGTTTGTCAAATATAACAAAAATTTAAATATTTCTATTATTAAAAATAAAAAAAATTTGTAATTTTTTAGAGAAACTAATAAATTTATCAACAAAGTTGTAAATACATAATTTATAAAAAAAATTGATAATTACAATTTATATTATATGTTTTTTTACGAGTTAGGAGCAAATAACCAAAAAACTACCTTTATTGTCCAATTTTGAACCATGACTAGACAAAGATTAAAACCGTGTAATTGGATTAAAAAATTTTTGGGTTTATTTTTACATATATATATATATATATATAAACAATTTGGTGAGTGAGACCTAAGATATTCCAAATTAAAAAAATATTGACCATCTTAATGGACACTAGTATGACATTGGGTGATGGTACGATATTTCGCACCGATTGATAATACATAAAAGTAAAATTATTTTGTAATAAGTTTATTTCAACAACTTTTACATTTCTTGTATTGTTAGTTTTAATAACGCTGAAATATAATTTCTACATAATAAAATGTTATGTTTTTGGTAAAATATACAAAAAAACTTTAAATACATCATAACATTAATAGCGTTAATGAGTAAGTATTGTTAAATATTTCAATTAATACTAAATACTTAAAATACTATTTATAAGATAATAAAATATATTTGCTCTTTATTAGTACAAGGAAGAAATGAAGTGTTACAAGCAATCGGTTATTGATAAATATTCTTAGAGGAAAAAAGCATTTACAATTACCCCAATCGTTTACAATTGCCTCACTTCGCCAAGTGGCATATTTCATTAATTCAGAGATAAACATTTTTAATTCCAATTTTTGCATATACGAGGTTTTTCACGCCTAGTTTGCGTAAATTTAAGGTTTGCCATAAATAATGATTCTTTGGAAATTGAATTTTAACGAAATGCTATAAAAATGATATATGATTTTATTTAATTATGTAGCAATTTTTTGATAAATGTGAAATGCAGGTTATTTTACGGTTCCTATACCGTTTGTGTTTGGTAATCGGTATAAACAAATGTGTATATATATAGACATTCCCTCATTCGCATCTGTACCAAATATTTACAGGGCAAAACCGGTGTCACTTAAAACTAACTACTGTAAATTAAAGGTGATTGTGTTGTAGATAGCTGCATTAAAAGATAAAAAAAACCTTCTATTCTCTTTTCTGGGACGAAAAGAAACGTTTTACAATCGGCTAAAATTTAAATGATTAATTCACCAGCAGTTTCAATTATATCCAAGGTTTAATCTTAACTAAGTGCCAACTACATACATATTACTAGGTATTATTATTATTATAGATTTCATATAATACAAAAAACTGTATAAAGTGATCTATAAAATTTGTTCATAGTGTGAATAAATTATTATTAACTACAAACGTGATATTCGTAACGCTTTACGTTTTATAAGCGGTAGCAATTGAAAGAATTTCATAATGTATCTTATGATATTTTATTATAATTACATGTTTATTTTGTTTTATATTAAGTGAGCTTTATCAATGGAAATAATATGTAACGTACAACATGAGGGTCAGTAGCAGAATAATATGTCGCTCCAAAATAATATTAGGAGGACGTACAAGTGGCGAATGCTATCTGTAATAAATGGCAGGAGGTGATTGAAGAGTTGGCCCGGTTGGTTGGGGTTGAGTGTGCTCATTAAAAATGTGATAAGGCGAACAAGACTGCCAGACGACATTGAAACCGTCACAAATCGTATCAACTATTATAACTTCTCAGTACTCATGTATTATTTTATTATTTTCATGTGCATATAACTTAAGTACTCATATGGCATAATTTATTTTTATTTACTTTGTGATGAATAAATACAAATTTTATATTTGTTCAATTATATACAGGATGATTTTTTTATCATAACCCACTGAATTACTTGCAGAATAATAATAATATAAACATTTTTTTTTTTTATTATTTTTAGTTACACATTATTCTTGAATTTTTAACTATGTAATACATTTTAAGTTCATCCCTTATGCCTTGGAGAGGGGTCAACTTTGTTTTTTTAAATGGTAACACATATTTTTAATTTAATAAAATGTTTGAGTTTTTAATTTAATAGTAAATGGCATTTGAATTTTTACTATAATTTTATTAGCTTATTAGATATAAACATTTAAAGTTTCAAATTTTTGAGTTAATATACATGTATAATACACATGGGATTGTAAATACAGGTAGCTAATTGGATTTTTATGACATTGCTGTCTCAGTCACGGATTGTTTATTATCAATTATGATTATCAATAGATATACTTTCTGTATTGTCAGTTAGTGTATTTATAAACTCATAACAATGTGCCTTACTACAATTGATAATAACAATGCTGTGTACCTGCTAATATCGATGTTATAAAAAACCAATTAGCTACCTATATTTGTAATCCCTTGTGTATTATACCTGTATATTAATTCAAAAATTTGAAACTTTAAATGATTATATCTAATAAACGAATTAAGTTATATTAAAAATTCAAATGCCATTTACTATTAAATTAAAAACTCAAACATTTTATTAAATTAAAAATATGTGTTACCATTTAAAAAAACAAAGTTGACCCCCTTCCAAGGCATAAGGGATGAACTTAAAAAGTATTACATAGTTAAAAATTCAAGAATAATGTGTAACTAAAAATAATAAAAAAAAAAAATGTTTAAATTATTATTATTCTGCAAGTAATTCAGTGGGTTATGATAAAAAAATCACCCTGTATATTTAATACATAATTATCGATTAAGGATAAGACACTCGTTTTCTTAGAATCTATTGAAAATTTCTAATTTTCATAAAAGAAATAATATTATTATTGCAATTTTTTTTATTAATAAAGAATTTTTTATTTTACAAAAATATAAAATTTTCAATAATTTCCAAGAGAATGAGCATCTTATTCTTAATTGATCACCATATTTTAAATAGTTGAGTAAATTCAAAATTTGTATTTATTTATCACAAATATATTAAAACAATTTAAATAAATTATAAAGTATTAATAAAAAAAAAAATATTTTATTATAAAAATTTATATATATTTGATTATATACTATATAATAACAATAATATGTTAATTGTTAAGATAAGGCGGGTTATGAAAACGCGGTTAAGTTTCTACGATGAAAACATTCTACATATTAATTTTTAATCACAACTAAAATTAATGTGCCCGCGCGTTTGTTACTAACTCTGTCTACATTTTATAGTCTTAATAACTTAAAATAAAATGTCAAAAGTTGAAATGATAAAAAAAATGATCCTTTTTACATCCTACTAGTTCTCGAATTAAATAACATGCTACAGAGGATAATGATGTTCTTTCATTTGTTGGAGAGTCAAAGATAATTCTTAGCTAGGCTAATAATGGACGGGATGGGTATTATGGTCAGCTTTTACCAGACAACAGACACCAACAATAAGAAAATCACAAGAAAATTTCGGCTCCCTGGTGATCAACCGGAAGTCGTTAGTGCGCCGAAACATAAGTTTCTACCCACTAGGTTAAGCTAACCCCAAAAGTTAAAATAATATTAAAAAAAATTAATTTATATTAAAGTGTTAAAGCTCATGTCTGCCCCTTTTAATATATTTTTACATTTGGTTACTCGTCTGTAAGTTGACAATATTAAACATTAAACCCAACCTACCAATTTTGAAGGTTATGCTCTTTACTATTGAAATTCGCCTCAATAAATTTATTGCCCCTCTGAATAACCCCAAAACGGCACTGTATTCATGATGGATTTGACGAAGACTTTTAAAGAAATTTGTCACGTGGTACACATTTTCGGGACCCTCATTCGTTAATCGAAAAAAATTAAAATTAAACCCATTAAACGTTTTAACGATCTTTATAAATCATAGGTGCAACTAAGGGGCTAGTCCACCCCTCCCAAATCAAAGTAGACATTATGTTAACGGTCACATAAAAATTTTTTAAATGTGTAATTTAAATAACTTTACAGAGTGATTGATTTACCATTGACTACTAAGTTCCTCCTAAAATAATAATAATCTTCGAAATATTTTTTTTTAACTTTGATAGTTAATATTATATTAATTTATAAGTAGTTAAATATATTTTAGATACACCCTTTATAATATTACTAACCTAAATTTTATAATTACCTTATAAAATAGACAGCTTATAAAATTAAACAGTCATTTAATTAGGTCGATAAAAATGTTTGGACCAGTACTTCGGAATTTATTAACATATTTATACTCAGGCTAGTAGATGTTTGCGACCGAAAATATGTAATAATAAAATCCGAATACTACTATACTACAATAGAGCAATTGTAGAGTACTGAATTGAAAACTACACAACGAATTGTCGACAAATTTATTGAATATTTAATGAATTCATTCTATTAAATCTATAGACAGATATTTGAGAAAATTAATACTGAAGTCAAAAGAGCTAAGTAGAAAGAGCGACAAATTCAAATAATCGGATAAATAAAATTAAAGTGTCATAAATGTACAGAATAAT